TTTCCAGGGGTTTTGTAGTGTGCCTTCTCAAAACCAGCCAATGGGTTTTGGGGGACAGAGAGCAACTGAAGGAGGTCAGACAACGCAGTCGAAGATTTTCTGAGACTAGCTGACTCCAACTAAAACATGCTGTTAGCCCACCTGGCTATGGAAAAGTAACCCTGAAGGCAGTGGCAGGGAAGGGGCCACCACTCCTGGATGTGTCCTACAAGGCCCTAGAGTCCAAAGGAAAATAAGCAATGCCTCCAGCAGGAGGCCCGGTGTGCTCAGAGCCTGGGGGTGGGGAAAGAATCAAGGACAAGAGGTGGCTTCACCTACGCTGACCAATACGAAGGCCACCAAATGCAGTTTCCCAGTTACACAAGCCACACTCCTCACAGCGACTGTTTCCGTTTTATAGAGATGGGTTTGGAGGACCCCGTTGGTCGCTTCTCATCCAGGACCCTGTTCTCCACTTCCTCATCCTCTGCCTTTAGGTCAAAAGCTGGAATCCTCAGGTTCTGAGAGAAAGGGGCCTTCCTGGAAGGGTAAACTTTTGATGAACTTGGAATCAGGAAGAAGGAACCCCTGCTGGCTTGGCACTGAGCCCCAAAGGTCATTCATTCATTCATTGTTTGTTTTTAGTGTGAGGAAGAGAATTCTTCAGCCCAAATCAAGTAGCTGAACCATCTATTTTAAAGTCAATGCTCATTCTTATGCATGTCAGATAATCCTTCCTGGACTCTTCATAGGGAAGACCCACACACACTTTCCTGCAGACCCCCTTCATCAGTGCCCCTCCTAAGTGCAGCACCTATAGGACACTGGCACACTACTGTAGCTGGGGTGAGCTTGGCTTGGTGGGGACTAGGAGTCAATGGACTTATCAAAAAGACTCTTACCATGCCCTGGTCACTGTGGCTCAGTTGGTTTGAGCGATGTCCCGTGCACTGGAAGGTCCTAGGTTCAATTCCCAGTCAGGGTACATATCTAGGTTGCCGTTCAATTTCCGGGCAGGGTGTGAACCAATGGCAACTGATTGCTGTTTCTCTCATCTCTCTCTCTCCCTCTCTCTCTTCTCCCTACCTCCCTACAAAATATTTTTAAGACACTATTTTTTTAAGTCTGGCCAGTATAGCTCAATTGTTGAACATTGAGCATGAACCAGGAGGTCCCAGTTCAATTCCTGATCAGGGCACATGCCAGGGTGGCACACTCAATCCTCAGTGTGAGGCGTGTAGGCGGCAGCCAATCAATGATTGTCTCTCATCATTGATGTTTCTCTTTTTGAAATCAACAAAAATATATATTTTTAAATTTAAAAACCCAGATCTAGACTGCTATTATCACTGTATTCTTAGGAAATTATGGCAGCCAACAGATGCACAGATCAAGTGGATCTAAAGACCCAAAATCCCTCTGGCTGGCCTTCTACAGCAGTGTTCCCTCCACTTAAATCACTATCTTTGGGTAGGCCTGAGCACTGGGATTTTTAAAAATACCTGTTAGATACCAATATAAACAAATAAATTATAGAAAAGAAAAATAAAGCCTGCAAGGTAATCAGGGAAATGTAAGCAGGCACTCATAAGTTTATATTATTAAGGAATTACTATAAAGTTCTTGTAGGAGCCGGGACCGGTTTGGCTCAGTGGATAAGAGCGTCAGCCTGCGGACTGAAAGGTCCCGGGTTCGATTCCGGTCAGGAGCATGTACCTTGGTGGCAGGCACATCCCCGGTGGGGGTGTGCAGGAGGCAGCTGATCGATAGCTCTCTCTCATCGATGTTTCTAACTCTCTATCCCTCTCTCTTTCTCTCTGTAAAAAATCAATAAAATATATATATTTTTAAAAAGTTCTTGTAGGAGAGGTATTAGCGTGCTTATTTGTTTTTTTAATGTTTTTTTATTAATGTTGAGGGAGAGAGGAAGAGAGAGGGAGAGAAACATTAATTGGCTGGCTGCCTCCCTACCAGGGATCAAGCCCCCAATCCGGGCATGTGCCTTGACCCGGAATTGAACCAGCAACCTTTCAGTGTATGGGAAAATGCCCAACCATCTCTCTTCAAAGCAATAAACCAAATTATTTTGCCTGTAAACATGACATCTGGGATTTGCTTCAAAATAATCCAGAGCCAGGGCACAGTGGGGGATGGGGGCAGATAAAACAAGAGTGGAGGACGTTTACTGCTAAAGCTGGGTGACATTCACAGAGGACCATTCTATTCTGCCTCTTCGTGTATTTCAACTAAGCAAGCAGTCTGTTTTGGGCTGAGAACCCCGTAGCATCATCCAACCGGATACCCAGGGCCCCAAAGACATCTCAGCTTGCCTGCCTCCAACTCTTTTTCCTCTTTATTTTCATGCCTCCAACTCTTATTTGGCCTCTACCTGGGAAAGCCTTTCCCCCACCTTCACGTCATGGTCGCAGCATCATGACTGGCACTTGGGGAATGTTTAATAAATGGTAACATTTATCAGTATCACCCCAAGTATTTTGTGGGATTTTTCTCACGTGTGTGGTAGGCTGTGTCAGCCCAAGTAGGGAAAGGAAGAGAAGGCCAGGTCTTGGTTTTCAGGGGTCTTATGTTCTGGGTTGAGTATGGGTGGTAGCAGAGTAGAGTAGGACAGAGAGGACAGGTATAGCCTGTCTCCTGCCACTCCTGACTTATCCACCCTGCTCTGCCTCCCTTCCCAACTTAGCCAGTACCTACGGAGGTTTAGGTATTGAGTCCGTGCCTCTCAGTGAGATGTGTACAAACACACACTAGTGAGACAAGACAGTAAGAGAGAGGAACAGGATCCAGAGGCCCAAAGAGCCTGGCCTTCACTCAAGGGCACCAAGGTTCATCAGCTTTTGCAGTAGCTCAGCCACTAACTTAGTGAGGTGCAACGAGCCACGACCACAAGTCTTTCAAGTTCATGTTCGGCCCTATTTCCACAGCCCTTTATGAATCTATACACGTGTTTACAAATGTTTCCCTTTTAAAAACTCAAGTTCCATTCGAATCAACCCCACTTAGACAACTGTGGATTGAGAGGCAGCTAACCTACCTGCTGTTCACTTCCTCCTAGCTTTCATATCTCCCTGCATTTGTTCACCATGACAACCATCCTCAGCATAGAACACAGAGCAGGTTGGGGGTAGGGCACAAGCTCCTGATGACTCTATTTGGATGGAACTGATCCATGGGGCGGCCACTCATGGGAGTTAAAACCCCGCCCAATGACACAGCTATGGCATTATGGGGCCACACTTCAGCACCTGGTCCCTAAAAATTGAATTGGAGCCTGGCAATCATTCTGCCGAAAACCCACATAATACTAACTCAACAGAAGGCGGGGGCAGACTGAGAGAACTGGCTCTCTAAAGAATTCAGAGTAGTCGCCAACGATGCCTCTTTGCCCTAAAAGCGCACAAGCTATTCTTTCTACAACATGGCTTGAGATAAGAATCAGACCCTCCTATTCTGGTAATTATCTCATCTTCATCTATCTTCTCCTCCCTTTGGAAATTGGGATGCTTGCCTGTCTGTAGTCTTCCAGAATCTCTCCCGCCTGCAATTCCACCTACAAACAACTGCAAGATCCTCTAGACATAATGTCATGAAGCACAAGTGGAAGCTAAGTCATTGTGAGTAGCTAGGCACTTTAGCGTACCTTTACCCTTCTAAGATTTCAAACATTTCATCCCAATGCCTCCTTGACCCTGCCCGCCATTCTTTATTTGACACAGAAACATTAAGGGGACTTCTTCTCCATGTCCTATACTGTGCTTCACAATACAGAGTTCATTGCAGGGTTCCGCCTTCCTTATACTATTCTTAAGTTCTGTGTGTTCTTCTGGGGAAGTCCTTGCTTTTCGCCCTGTCCTTCCTATCTTTCAAATGAGATATGAGCTGGCTAGGAAGCCCTGAGTGCTTCTGTAGTCCCTCAGACTTGCAGTGCCATCGTGAGCCAATCCCCCCTCCCAGCTCTTCTGCAGATGGAGTCAGAATCCTGATTTGCCTTCCTTTCAGTCTCAGCCTACAAGATCATCATCTTTTTCAGAGGTTCCAGAAACACTAAAATTCTAGAGTCTGTGTCCGACTCCTCATTTCCCAACTCCGATCAGTTGGCTAACCTTAAAGAGCTGTCTGCCCTTTCCAGCACCACCCCTGCCACTTTTCCAACTCTGACCCAGAGAGGGCGGGCTCACCTGAGCAACTGACTGTTTTTCTGCAAAACTGAAACCCAGACAGGTAGTCATTCTAATGCCTAGTGAAAAAGGATGTCCAGGTAACGGGTGGTGGGAGATCCCAGCCTAACCAAGGATCCACACACTCACCCTGCTTCTGAGTATCCACACAGTGAGTGCCATCCTGATTCCTCTGGAAACCCTTGGCCTGAGTGTTATGTCTACCCCCTGGTAGTCAGCATACTTGAGAACAGCCAGGGCCCCAATCAGAACCCCTGTGAGCAAGAGGCAGTAAACCAGCCCCAAGCTCAAAAGGTGCTTCCTATCAGTCTAGTCTTGCCCAACTAGCCAACCCCATGACCCTGACCAAGGCATTCAATTTTACAAAAGAAAAAAAAAGGAAAGAAACAAACACTCAGACTGCCAAGGATCAGAATGTACTCCTAGAGGTCTAACATCTGGGAAAGCCCTAGGGACACAGTCTCAGCCCCTTCATGCCTTACCCAATCCTACAAAGGCAAGAAACCAGTTAAACCTTCTGCCTCTCCCAGGGGAGGGAAACATCTCACTCCACACTGTGTACAGAGAGCAAGCTGCTAATGCATTTGCCCTAAGAGAGCACGTGGCAAATTGGGGCAGAGCCAGAACTCGCATCTTCTAACCTTCCAGCCAGTCCTGTCTCACTCTTCATGCTGCCTCTGGAGGTCAGGGGGAAAAATCAGAGGTCTCTGGGGAAATTGTGTGGATCCCCTAACATAGACAGGCCTCGGGTTCAAGGCCATCAACTGAGGAATCAAGGTCACAGCCCAGAGGTCCCTTCACAGTCCTCCCCCGCTCCCCACTCACAAGGACAACAGCAAGGAAAAGCCAGCAATGTAGAGATTCCTCTGGGCACGGAAAAGCTTCATGTGGAAGTGCTCCACAGCTCCAGGGTTGTTCTGGAGGTTCACCTTCTCTGTCACGTCGTCATACTTCCAAATCTCACGTACAGCATCTGTGGTGGAACAGAGAGGAGACCCAGGGTTTAGCTCCCTCTGGAACAACTCCAGACTGTCCAGCTGAGACAGTGTGAGTTGGGTAGGTCTCGATTCCCTCTAACCATCTCCCACTATCACCCCTTCTACACACACACCTCACGGAATGCCCATCAGAGCTCTGCCATCAGACCCTTTCGCTCCGCCAGCTTTTCTCACATCCCTTCCTGGCCCTATTCTACCCAGGCCACAGGCTTGCTGTGTCGAGATGCTAACCAAGTCAGGCATTGCTAGCCAGGAGCAGCCCCCTTTCCCATGGTCCCCCCAATGTTGGGTTCTGTCTATCTCAAGTCAAGCAGGCCACCAGCCACCCCACTGATAAGTCAGGGTAGTCCCGCTTATGGAAATGACTGCTGAGGAAGTAGGAGCTGCCTAGGAGGCAAAAACTAGAAGATGCCTGCTAAAGATTCAAGGATTTTCATCTCTAAGCTTTATAATGGATTTTATTACTCAAACCATTTTACTTAGATTAAAAAAGGCATTTGTGCTCATCAAAAATTCAAACATTCCAGAAATGTGGAAAAAGAACCCCATAACACAATCATGTCCAGCAGGGTATACAATATGTGGCCATCATATCTAAAGCTGTCATTTTCAGTCACATTACCCTGTTATTTTCTTGGTAATATACACCCTTATCTGAAATTACCCTAATTATAGGTTTATTCTGTCTCCCCCAAATTAAACTAAAAATTCAATGAGAACAGAAATCCCCAGGGCCTAGTGCAGTTTAGGGTACACAAAGGGCATGCAAGTAACTCCTAAATAGTAAACAGCCTCTGCTCCTGAAAGCTGTTGTTAGATATACAGTACTCAAGTTTATAAATATTTTTACATCTATATTTGTATAATAGAAATGGAACCATCCATAGCTACTGCTTTCTCCCCTACACCCAGACATATGTTTAAATCAGTACATAAAGGACTACCTAAAGAGGGCTCTTAACAAACCCCATATAAAAGGGGCACAGTATCACTGTATGGACATTGTCTGATTCTTACTTAATTCCTGGCTTGAGACTGCTTGGTTTTTAAGTTGATTTTACATTATAAAAACCTACCTTTCCTGCTGGGACCGGTTTGGCTCAGTGAATAGAGCGTCGGCCTGAGGACTGAAAGGTCCCCCGGGTTCGATTCCGGGCAAGGGCATGTACCTTGGTTGCGGGCACATCCCCAGTAGGGGGTGTGCAAGAGGCAGCTGATCGATGATTCTCTCTCATTGATGTTTCTAACTCTCTATCTCTCTCTTCCTCTCTGTGAAAAATCAATAAAATATATATATATTTTTTTTAAAAAAAGATATAATATTTAAAAAACAAACAAAAAAAACCCTACCTTTCCTTACTGGTACCTTTATGTTAAATCTGAATTGTGCCCTGGCAGGTGTGGCTCATTTGGTTGAGCATCATCCCATACACTGAAAGGTTGCCAGCTTGATTCCCAGTCAGGGCACATGCCCAGGTTGCAGGTTCAATCCCCAATCAGGGTGCATGTGGGAAGCAATCAATAGATGTTTCTCACATCAGTTTATCTCTCTTCCCCTTCCTCTCTTTCTATTGATAAAAATCAACTTAACCCTAACAGGTTTGGCTCAGTGGATAGAGCGTCACCCTGAAGACTGAAAGGTCCCGGGTTCGATTCCGATCAAGGGCACATACCTTGGTTGTGGGCACATCCCCAGTAGGTGGTGTGCAGGAGGCAGCTGATCAATGTTTCTCTCTCATTGATGTTTCTCTCTATCCCTCTCCCTTCCTCTCTGTAAAAAAAAAAAAAAAAAATCAATAAAATACAAAAATAAGTAAAAATCAACTTTAAAAACATTTAAATCTGTATCTTAAAGTGAGCACTCTCCAACACTATTAGCAGGGGTATAAAGTAGGCAACTCACCTATTTGCAATGGATTGCATGTTCCTCCTCTCTCCTCACATTCCTATGTGGAATACTAATTCCCAACGTGATGTTAGGAGGTGGGGCCTTTGGGAGGTAATTAAGTCATGAGCACAAGGCCCTCATGAATGGGATCAGTATCCTTATAAAAGCGACCCTAGAGAAATCCCTCACCGTCTTCTGCCAAGTGGACACAGAAGGCTGTAGTCTATGAACCAGGAAGAGGGCTCTCTCAAGACACCAATTCTGCTGGCACCTTGATCCTGGACTTCCAGCCTCCAGAACTATGAGAAATAAATGTCTGTTTATTTAAGCCACCCAAATTTATGTTATTTTTGTTACAGTAACCCAAACTAAGACACAGAATTTAAAATGTTCATTCCCTTGGATTCATCAATTCATAAATGTGCAATAAAATTAGGATGCCTATAATGAAGGAATTAGCCCTAGCACATTTGGCTCAGTGAACAAAGGATCGGCCCAAGGACTAAAGGGTCCCAGGTTCAATTCTGGTCAAGGGCACATATCTTAGTTGCAGGCTCGATCCCCAGAGGCAACCAATCAATGTGTCTCTCTCACATTGATGTTTCTCTCTGTGTGTCTCTCCCCCTCCTTCCACTCTAAAAATCAATGGGAAGCCGAGACCGGTTTGGCTCAATGGATAGAGCGTCGGCTTGGGGACTGAAGGGACCCGGGTTCGATTCTGGTCAAGGGCATGTACCTTGGTTGCGGGCATATCCCCAGTAGGGGGTGTGCAAGAAGCAATTGATCCGATGACTCTCATCTATGTTTCTGGCTCTCTATCTCTCTCCCTTCCTCTCTGTACAAAATCAATAAAATATATTTTTTTTTAAATAATAATAATAAAAAAATCAATGGGAAAATATCCTTGGGTGAAGATTAACAAACAGAAAAAAAGAATTAAATTATAGTATAACCATATGATGGAATACAACTACCTCACAGATGAGTTTTCAACATTGAAGCAAGATCCTCCACCAACAAAAAGATTATGACTTGCTGAAGGCTCAGATGGTTAGCCTTTTTAACAGCAAAACAAAAAAATTTAATCTTTACCCAAGGATATGTTTTTATTGATTTTAGAGAGAGAAAGGGAAAGGGAACCATCAATGTGAGAGAAACATTGATAGATTGCCTCCCGTACAGGCCCCAACTAGGGTTCGAACCCACAACCTAGGCATGTGTCCTGACTGTGCCTCAAACCCGCCACCTTTTTGGTGCACAGGACAATACTCCAACCAACTGAGCCACCCGGCCAGATCACAATAAAGTATTTTTAGCTAAGGTATTTATATTACTTTTATAAACATAATAGAGGCCGAGTGCACGGAATTCGTTGGGGTGGGGACCCCCTCAGCCCAGCCTGCACCCTCTCCAATCTGGAACCCCTCTCACAATCTAGGACTGCTGGCTCCCAACTGCTTGCCTGCCTGCCTTCCTGATTGCCCCTAACCGCTTCTGCCTGCCAGTCTGATTGACGCCAAACTGCTCCCCTGCCAGCCTATTTGCTCCTAACTGCCCTCCTCTGCAGGCCTGGTCGCCCCCAACTTCCCTCCTCTGTCAACCTGATCCCTCCCAACTGCCCTCCCCTGCTGGCCATCTTGTGGCAGCCATCTTGTGTCCACATCAGGTAGGATCTTTGACCACATGGGGGCAGCCATCTTGTGTGTTGGAGTGACAGTCAATTTGCATATTACTTTTATTATATAGGATTGCTATTAAACACTTAACATACTACAGTATAATGTAAACATTAAATTTTATATGCACTGGGAAACCAAAATAGTTGTGTAACTCGCTTTGTTGTGGTATCCATTTCATTGGTCTGGAACTGAACCCACAATATCTGAGGTATGCCTGTATAGTCAGCCCTCTGTGTCTGTGGATTCCACATCTTTGGTTTCAACCCAGTGTGAATATTTGGAAAAAAAATATTGCATTGTTGCTATTGTGTATTATGTAGTTAGGCCTATGATGGTCATGTCTTTACTGAACATGTACTGACTTTTTTGGTCATTATTCCCTAAACAATACAGTGTAAGAACTGTTTATATAGCACTGTATGTATGAGGTATTATAAGTAATCCATAAATGAAGTATATGGGAGGGTGTGCATAGGTTATATGCAAATACTACACTACTTTACATAAGAGACTTGAGCATCCATGGAATTTGTTATCCATGCGGGTCCTGGAACCAATTCCCCAGGGATGACGATATTACACAATCTTTAAAAAGAATGAAACTGCCTTTCCTGTCGCGAGTTGCGAAGAGTCGGTTCGAGAGCCTTTTGAGAGCCGAGGATTGAGAGCTTCTTCGCGCCCGGGGGTCTGCGCCCGGCCGTCACCATGCCACAAAACGAGTATATTGAGTTACACCGGAAGCGCTATGGATACCGTTTGGATTACCATGAGAAAAAGAGAAAGAAGGAAGGTCGAGAGGCTCACGAACGTTCAAAGAAGGCAGAAAAGATGATTGGGCTGAAGGCTAAGCTCTACCATAAGCAGCGCCATGCTGAGAAAATACAAATGAAAAAGACTATCAAGATGCATGAAAAACGAAACACCAAACAAAAGAATGATGAAAAGACTCCACAAGGAGCAGTACCTGCATATCTGCTGGACAGAGAGGGACAGTCCCGAGCTAAAGTACTTTCCAATATGATTAAACAAAAACGAAAAGAGAAAGCGGGAAAATGGGAAGTCCCTCTGCCCAAAGTTCGTGCCCAGGGAGAAACAGAGGTATTAAAAGTTATTCGAACAGGAAAGAGAAAGAAAAAAGCATGGAAGAGGATGGTTACGAAAGTCTGCTTTGTTGGAGATGGCTTTACTCGAAAACCACCTAAATATGAAAGATTCATTAGGCCAATGGGCTTACGTTTCAAGAAGGCCCGTGTAACGCACCCTGAACTGAAAGCGACCTTTTGCCTGCCAATTCTTGGTGTGAAGAAGAATCCCTCCTCCCCACTTTATACAACCTTGGGTGTTATTACCAAAGGTACTGTCACCGAGGTGAACGTGAGTGAGTTGGGCCTTGTGACACAAGGAGGCAAGGTTATTTGGGGAAAATATGCCCAGGTTACCAACAATCCTGAAAATGATGGGTGCATAAATGCAGTCTTACTGGTTTGACAGCAGTTTCATATAAGTAACTTTGTAATAGTTGAAGACTATACATCAATCAGAAAAATTCCTTTACTATGTTTCTGAGTGCTATCAAACAGCTTACATGTCTGCAGTCCTCAAGAGAATTATTTATTCTATTGTAAAGAATATTAAAATGGCCCAGTTTTATAAAAAATAAATAAATAAATAAAAATAAAAAAAATAAAAAGAATGAAACTGCTGTAACAAGATGTTTAAGATACAATAAGTGGGAAAATGCACATTCCAACAGTGTATAGTATATTAATAAAGACAACAGCACAGCCGAAACCGTTTTGGCTCAGTGGATAGAGCGTCGGCCTGCGGACTGAAAGGTCACGGGTTCGATTCTGGGCAAGGGCATGTACCTTGGTTGCGGGCACATCCCCAGTAGGGAGTGTGCAAGAGGCAGCTGATCGATGATTCTCTCTCATCGATGTTTCTAACTGTGTTTCTCTCTCTTCCTCTCTGTAAAAAATCAATAAAAAATATATATTTTTTAAATTCTTAAAAAAAAAAAGACATCAGCACAGAAAATGCTCATGGAACTGTGCAATAAAGCATTAGTGATGGTTATCTGCGAGATATGGAACTATGGTGAGACAGAACTGTGGAAGAGTTTAACTTTTTAGGTGAAGTTTCTGAATTTTTAAAAATATTACTTTTGGCCAAAACCGGTTTGGCTCAGTGGATAGAGCCTCGGCTTGGGGATTGAAAGGTCCCGGGTTCGATTCCGGTCAAGAGCATGTACCTTGGTTGCGGGCATATCCCCAGTAAGGGGTGTGCAAGAGGCAGCTGATCGATGACTCTCTCTCATCGATGTTTCTAACTCTCTATCTCTCTCCCTTCCTCTCTGTACAAAATCAATAAAATATATATTTTTTAAAATATTACTTTTGTGACTTAAAAAAAAAAAAGCATATTTTTCTACACTGTCATCAGCAACTAGGAACCCCATCACCTTAAGGACCACATTGGCCTATGGCAAAGAGCAGATTGGGGATGAGGGTGTTAAGCTATACTAGCCCAAGTCACACAACAGTGTGCTGCTCTCCGTATCTCAGGCCTCTAGCCCAGGGCAGTTGACCCTGGACCCTCATCAAGCCCAATCCCCACTCAGATCTGCCCTAGGCCCCTCTCACTGAAGACTAGGGGCCAGCCAGGCTACAGCTCTAGCTGGTATGCCCATTACCTTTCACTAGTATTTACTACTAGCTATCATTTATATTTGTAGAAGACTCTACAGACCTTTCTAGATTACAATTCTTACATTAGGGCAGGAAGCAACCTGTCATCATAGCAGGATTTGTCTCTCTAGAACTTTCAAGCAATTCCTCAACTCCAAAAAAGAAGAATGGCGCCTTTGCTAACTATTGGGTTCTCTGTAAGGGGCCTTCCTGGCCCACTTGGGTGTGTTAGGAAATAGAGAGCACCTAGAGTCTGGTTTGCAAAAGGGCAAAGCTCAGAGGAAATACCCCTAGCAAGTCCCTCCCCATCCCAATTCTTACCCCTATCCCACATTCAAAAGCAAAAGCACATGAAAAACCTGGCTTTCTGTGCTCAGGGGATGACGTTCACATTCCCTACCCCTGCGGGCTCAGAGGCTGCTCAGGGAGAGGACCCTGATTGGAAAGACGTACCTCATGGTGGAGACTTACCAAGGATTTCAACAGCAAGGTATGCGGGCAGCTGGCACCCACCATACATGTCTGAGAATAAGCGGCCACACCTGGCCTATGCAGAGGTAGTCCTGCCTGAACACATCCTGTCAGGCCCTGAGACATTTAGGAAAGAGAAATGCCTAACACAGTAGCTAGTGGGTGGGGCCATGCAAGTTCCCCTAAACTAAGGCTCCTGGGCCTCCCACGCCCCCTGCTGGTTTTTTAATTATTGTTTTTTCGTTGATTTTAGAGTTAGAGAGGGAGGAAGGAAGGGGGGGGAGAGAACGGGGGAGGGAGCAGGGCAGGGAGAGACATCAATGTGAGAAACAGATCAGCTGCCTGCAACCTGAGCATGTGTGCTGACTAGTAGTAGAAATCTAACTGGTGACCTTTTGGCATACCAGACAACGCCCAATCAATTGAGCCACACCAGCCAGGGTCCCCTGCTGCATTTCTGTCGTGGACTGGGAAAAAAGGAGTGCTCTGAGCTTAAGCATCATACCTTGGAGACAGGACCATTTTCTGTGGCAGAGCCGAGCCAATACTTTGGGAGTCCAAGCTTCACTAATTCTGCTGGTCTCTGAATAATCATGCTACCAGAATGTCGCAAAATGTTTGCCTTCCATCTTAGTACCACCTGCCCCAGACCCCATGCCTGGTATGCCTAAGGACCAGTTTGTCTTTTAAGCCCCTGCTGGTGTGCTCTTCAATGTGCGGTTTATAGAACCTCAGAGCTGGAAGAACCTGGAAAGACCTGAAGTTTGACCCAGATCCAGAGAGGTCTGGGATCTGCTCCCTAGATATGCTGCAAGACTTCTTGGTCATCCCTATACTACAGGACACAGCAGCTTCTGTCCCATTCCCCTAATCATGGCGTACTTCAGGCATGGAGGGAGAGACTGATGCTACTGTCTAAGTGATTGGAGAGCAGTAATACTTAGACCAAGGTCAGCAAGGGCCAGTGAAGATTCTCTTGGTTTCAGTTCTGGAATGACTCAGAGGAGCTGCCCCAGAGACATGAAGTGGTCAGCACAGGGTCCACAAAGACTGCTGGTCAGAGTGAAGGCCCTGCCAAGTACCCTTTTTGGGGAGGAAGAAAGTCTCTTCCCCAAAAGAGAGACACTTAGGTGGTCTGTCTCTGAAAAGCCAAAACTGTAAGCTACACGTGAACATGGCACAGAGCTTTACAGCAAAGGCCGCGGCAAGGGTCTAGGTCAGGTAGCTGCCCTCAGCCACAGCTCACTCACCAATGACCAGCAGCACAAGGATGGCAATGAGGACCACAAAGAAGGTGTTGCTATAGGTCACTACCAATTCCACCAGCCGGGACTTGAATATCTTCTGCCATCTGTGAAGAAAACAAAAAGGGCTGTAGAAAAAGAACATACTTGGGCTCTGGCTCTTAAGAACAGAAACCCAGTTTTGCAGTCTTCTCCAATGGCTGAATTTATCATACAGACTCAGACTCAGCTGCTTGGATTTTTCCAATTTATGACAGCCATTCAAGAGTGGTTGCCGGGACCGGTTTGGCTCAATGGATAGAGCGTCGGCTCGGGAACTGAAGGGTCCCGGGTTTGATTCCCGTCAAGGGCATGTACCTTGGTTGCGGGCAGATCCCCAGTAGGGGGTGTGCAAGAGGCAGCTGATCGATGACTCTCTCTCATCGATGTTCTAACTCTCTCTCTCTCTCCTTTCCTCTCTGTACAAAATCAATTAAAAAAAAAAAAAAAAAAAGAGTGGTTAACCTGTTAACCGAGCAGGACCTATAAATACGTCAAACATAAACAATATTGGGAACGGGTAGGACGTATGAATACGTCCTTGAAATATGTTGTGCCCTGAGAGGGACGGTATATATTTTTTGTAATCTTTATAATTGTTTGTAAAATTTATAATTTTTTAATTTGATGTTTCCATTTTTTTGTTGGTATTCTTTTCTATTTGCTTGTAATTCTGTATTTTCCTTTGTGCTTTATATATAAATAAGCGAAAAAATATATATTTCATTTATTTTAATTAAGTATAAATAAAAAAATAATAATATAAAATTACGTCCACTGGGCATGACGTACTGACACGTCCTAGTGAAAGAGTATGCACCCGTTGTACATTGTGTAATTAAAAAGGGAACTCCCTGGTTAATTAAGCCACTGAAACCGGTTTGGCTCAGTGGATAGAGCCTCGGCCTGCGGACTGAAAGGTCCTGGGTTCGATTCCAGTCAAGGGCATGTACCTTGGTTGCAGGCACATCCCCAGTAGGGAGTGTGCAAGAGGCAGCTGATCGATGATTCTCTCTCATCGATGTTTCTAACTCTCTATCCCTCTCTCTTCCTCTCTGTAAAAATTCAATAAAATATATATTTTTTTTTAAAAAGAGTGGTTACTGCGGACTGAAAGGTCCCAGGTTTGATTCTGGTCAAGGAGGGCATGTACGTTGGTTGCGGGCACATCCCCGGTAGGGGGTGTGCAAGAGGCGGCTGGTCGATGTCTCTCTCTCATCGATGTTTCTAGCTCTCTATCTCTCTCCCTTCCTCTCTGTAAAAAATCAATAAAATATATTTAACACACACAAAAAAAAGTGTGGTTAAACCCAACTGGCATGGCTCAGTGGCTAAGCGTCAACCTACGAACCAGGAGGTCATAGCCGGTCAGGGCACATGCCAGGGTTGCAGGCTTGATCCCCATTGGGGGGCATGCAGGAGGCAGCCAATCTTTAATATTGATTCTCTCTCTCTCATCATTGATATTTCTCTCTCTCTCCCTCTCCTTTTCTCTCTGAAATCAATAATAAATGTTTTTAAGTGGTTAAAAAATAAAGATGCTTGTCCATACATAGAAATTTCTAGAACCAGTCATAAACACTGGTAGTCACTGGGGAAGAAAATGGGCAACTTACTTTCCACTGCATTTCTCTATGTAGTCTTCAAAATGCTTGTCACATAAATATTATTGAAGTTGTTTTTCCATGTGAGTAATCTTGGTTCATCTAGAATGCCACCACCCTGATTATGAAGCAGACCCATCCTCCCTTCATTTCCTCCACAAATACCTCAGAATGTAGCGCTATCAGAGAAGAGCCTTCGAAAATGGTTAATGTAATCACAATGCCATCACCAAACCTCAAAAAAATCAGTAAGTAGCCCTCACTATCAGAGCCAGAATCCCAGTCCAATCGTTGCATTTTTAAATAGCTGGCTTGTCTGAGTCCAGAGACAAGGCTCCTATTCGGTATTTAGTTGGAAAGTCTATATATATATATAAAAAAAAAAAAATATATATATATATATATATATATATATATGAATGAAAGAAAAAAAAAGATAGAGAAAAGTATCCTTCTTAATCTATGAGCCTTTCCTTTTGTTTTCTATCCCAATTTATTTATGCAAAAACCAGGTCGTTTAGCCTACAAAGCCTCCCTGATAGCAGCTCCCAGGAGGCCTGTTTCTGTATTTCCTACAAATTGTATGAGATGTGAAGATTCAAGATATGGCTTTTGGCAAAAACATTCCTTGGGTAGTGCTATATACTTTCTATAGTATCACATCAGGTATATGCATTTTTCATTAAAAACAGTGTTTTAAAAAAAATATTTTAAATTGATTTCAGAGGAATGGAGAGGGAGAAACATAAATGATGAGACAGAATCATCAATCGACTGCCTCCTGCAGGACTCTACTGAGGATCAAGCCTGCAACCGAGGCATATGCCCTGACCGGGAATGAAATCATGACCTCCTGGTTCATGGGTCAATGCTCAACTGAGCCACACGGGCCAGGCTAAAAAGAGTTTTTAAAAATCTCTTTGCTTGTTGGTTGGAGCACTGCCCATAAACCAAAAAGCTGTGGGTTCAATTTCCCCATCAGTGAACATACTTAGGTTGAAGGTTTGATTCCTAGGCCGGGCACATATGGGAGGCAACTCATAGATGTTTCTCTCTCACATCAATGTCTGTCCGTCTCTCTCTCCAAAAATCAATAAAAAGCACATCCTCAAGTAAGGATTTAAAAATATATATTTATGGCCCTGGCTGGTATTCTCCGTGATTAGAGCATTGGCCAGCCCACCAAAGAGTCACAGGTTCAATTCCTGGCCCTAGTCAGGGCACATGGGGGAGGCAACCAATCAATGTGTCTCTCTCACACTGATGTTTCTTTCTCTCGCTCCCTTCTTCTCAGAAATCAATAAAAGTATATTTTATAAAAATAAAAAAGCGCCAAAACCGGTTTGGCTCAGTGGATAGAGCGTCGCGTCGGCTTAGGGACTGAAAGGGCCCGGGTTCAAATCTGGACAAGGGCACGTACCTTGGTTGGGGGGCACATCCCCAGTGGGGGGTGTGCAAGAAGCAGCTGGTCGATGTTTCTCTCTCATCGACGTTTCTAACTCTCTATCCCTCTCAATTCCTCTCTGTGTAAAAATCAATAAAATATATATATTTTTTAAAAGGAGTTTCTTTAAAAAAATAAAAATAAAATAAAAGCAATGGAAAAAATGCTCAGGTGAGAATTAACAAAAACAAACATATATATATATATATATATATATATATATATATATATATATATATATATGATGTATGTATCTGTGGAGACTCAGCCTCACTTGTAATTTTCTAATTTAAGTCAGAATGTGTTCATGTTATAGGCAATTAAACATTAATTTCCAATTAACTTTTAACAGGTCCTTTGTTCATTAAAAGAGAATATGGCTTCACCCTGCATAGGCTGAGTAATGCTCATGAGGCTACTACGCAATGCCAGTGAGACTAGTTTAGTAGGACAAAAGTCGCCAAATAAGCAACAACGTGACCCCGTGGTGCAAGTCTTCTGGATCCCACATTGTCATCCTCCAAATCCCAGGAACCCAAGAGGAAGAAGCGGGAAGGCCTCATTCCCAGAATCGTAACCAGAGCTCGGTCTTGTCCCCATTGGGGCATTCAGAAGACCAGAGGCAGGGTGCCCAGGAAAGGAACTCGGCGAGATATGACAAAGCAGATGTGAAAGGTTGGCAACAAACACAACCCCTGTCACCCCCCCACCCCAGACACGTTCAACCTGTTTCTGTCTGGCCCTAATTCCAGGGTCTACCAACTTTACACACGTAAGCTTTGGGGCTTGGCAACAGTCTCGTTCTTCTACGCCTGCCTGCTTGTTCTGCAGGCCATACCTTTTGGGTGAAATGAAGGGAATGCAGAGAAGCAGCACAGCAAAGACCTCTGCATAGAGGAAGGTGGCAACTGCAGTCCACTGCAGGCTCATCCTGTTGTTAGAAGATTTCCAACAGCGAAATGTGAGCTTCTCTCCTACAGGGCACAGGACGAACAGGAGTCATGCAAACTGGACAGCCATGCTACCCTGGGAAAGGGGGGCTCCACTCAGCGGGGAGAGACTTTCGCACTCATGCACAAAGGCCTGCCCCACTTCCACCTGCCGGGGCGGAGCTACTTTGCTGCCCCCTCCAGTATGTGCGTCAACATGTCCAGAGCCACCTTCTGGACAATTCCTTTCCCGTGATGTCCAAGAGACACCTGGTACCTGTTTAAGGGGGAACGTGTTTTTCACAAAGATTATACAGATAGGAGAAAATTCTCGACTTTCCATCAGGCCCGCTCCCTTCCCGGACACGGGAAGCTCTCGGCGGAGGGCGGTGACTCCCAGCTCCCAGAGGGCTCCGTGGCGACAATATTTCAGAAACGCAGTTTCTCCAAAAGCCAGGGCACTTCCCCCTTCCCCGCCCCGGAGGCCCTTCCCTAAAACCAGCGGCTCCCTCGGGGGCTAGAACGGAGCTTAACGAGGCTTCCGGACTGCCGGGCCTGCCTCCAATGGGATGGAGGACTCGGAGTACCTCAAAAAGCCCACAAAGAGCGACTCCTAGAGGGCGGGAGCCAAGAGACACCAAGGGCCAAGAGCGAATGCAGCTCTCGACTAAGTACCTCACGGCCCCGTCCAAAGAAACTTCTAGAAGCAACTGTCTCCTCAGAAGCCGGAGGAGACCCTCCCGGCAGCCCTCGCTCGGCCAGTCCCACAGCCTTCCTGGAGGCGCCTCGACGTGGCCCTACCCCGGCACGCCCCCCCTCCCCCCAATTCCCAGGCTCGAGGCTCCTCCGGAGGGGCTCGGCCACCGCACTCCGCCACCACAGCCGGTCCTCACGCCCCCGGAGCCGAGCTCTGCCCGCCGCCGCGCCCACTTCCCTCAGCCCAACCCTGCCCCCTCACTCCCGGATCCGCCCTCGACGCCAGGACCCCTCCCCACTGCCCGCCGCTTTCCGTCGTCGAAGGACAGAGGCGACCAGGGCGGCCCCAGAGCCCTGACAGGACTGCGGCCCCGCTCACCGAGTTTCTCACAGAACCGAGCACGCTCCTCCGCTGCCGCCAAACTCTCCCACCCTGGCTCTGACCACGCCCCTTCCCCCCACAGCCGGAAACCGGAAGCGCAGACAGGGTCCCGCCCCTCTCCCAGGCGAAGCGAGGCCCCGTAGGCTCCGCCCACGGCCGCTTTCCGCCCCGCCCCCCGAGCCGCTGCGTCGATTCCCAGGACTTGGGAAGAAACGGAGCTTTGGAAGCGCAGGAGGGCGGGGCGAGGCCTTGGCGGGAAGACAAGGCGCTGCTTCTCTAGCCCGCGCGGTCCTCCCACGTCTCTTTGGTCCGGAAAGGGATTGGGGTCCGACCGTGGGGAGAGAACGGGGTGGGGCGCGGTGCGCCCGGGCTCCGCCTCCCGCGCCTCCTCCGCCTCCCGCCCCTCCTTCGCCTCCTCCCTTTCCCCCGACTCGCCCCTGGGGAGGGGTGGGTGGGTGGGGATTCTGGGCGGGTGGCGGAGTCACTGTCGCTTCAGCCGGGCCGTGGAGAGGACGGACGCGCCTGGTGCCCCGGGGAGGGGTGCCACCAGGGTAGGAGGAGGAGGTGGAGAGGAAGAGACGCCCTCTCTCCTTGAGCCCTCTCGAGGTTCTGACCCCAGGGGCGAGGAGGCTGATAAGTTCCTCCACTCCCCTGCCTGAAGAGGCCGAGACCCTGGAGGGACCTGAGCCCACCGCATCAGGGGCTCCAGCACCGCCCCAGTGGCCTGGAGCAACAGCCTCAGGGACCACTGCAAGATTTCCAGTTGCCTAGACAACCAGCCGGGGCCGAGCAACAACCCTTCCAGCCACCTGCCTCGACTGCTGGCTCAGACACCAGTCCCAGCCCCGTGCATCCAGCCCAGGTGACATGCCGGTGCTCTCCACCCCCCGGGCCTCGCGGGTGACCACGCTGAAGCGCACAGCTGTGGTCCTGGCCCTCACGGCCTATGGAGCCCACAAAATCTACCCCCTGGTGCGGCAGTGCCTGGCTCCAGCCAGAGGCCCTCAAGTGCCTGCAGGACAGTCCACGCAGGAGGCCTCCGGGGCCGCTTCGGCCACAGGGGCCAAGGCCGGTGTGAACCGTGTGTTCTTGCAGCGACTCTTGTGGCTCCTGCGGCTACTCTTCCCCAGGATCCTGTGCCGGGAGACGGGGCTTCTGGCGCTGCACTCAGCCACCCTGGTGAGCCGGACTTTCCTATCGGTCTATGTGGCCCGCCTGGACGGTCGGCTGGCCCGCTGCATCGTACGCAAGGACCCGCAGGCCTTTGGTTGGCAGCTCCTGCAATGGATCCTCATCGCCCTCCCAGCCACCTTCATCAACAGTGCCATCCGCTACCTGGAGGGCCAGCTGGCCCTGTCTTTCCGAAGCCGTCTAGTGGCCCATGCCTACCGCCTCTACTTCTCCCAGCAGACCTACTACCGAGTCAGCAATATGGACGGGCGGCTTCGCAACCCTGACCAGTCCCTGACAGAGGATGTGGTGACCTTTGCTGCCTCCGTGGCCCACCTGTACTCCAACCTGACCAAGCCACTCCTGGATGTGGCTGTGACCGCCTACACCCTGATTCGAACGGCTCGCTCCCGCGGGGCCGGCACGGCCTGGCCCTCAGCCATCGCTGGCCTCGTAGTGTTTCTCACAGCTAATGTGCTGCGAGCCTTCTCACCCAAGTTTGGGGAGCTGGTGGCGGAGGAGGCGCGGAGGAAGGGGGAGCTGCGCTACATGCACTCTCGCGTGGTGGCCAACTCAGAGGAGATCGCCTTCTATGGGGGCCATGAGGTGGGGCAGGTTGGGGTGCTGAGCATGGAGGAAAGCATGTGGCTGGGAGGCCCAGGGGCAGGCAACTGTGAGTGGTGGGGAGAGCCAGGGCTGGCTCGAGTTGATGCCAGAGGTGTGGGCAGACCACAGGAGAGGGAGACTGGGATGATGAGCGGGGCTTGGGACTGCCCAGATTTAGGCACAGAAATGGAGAAGCAGGAAGGCTGGGTGGGGACTGCCCTGGGCCGGCTGCCTGGCCACTTCTGCTTCCTCTCCTCGGTGAGGCTGTCCTGGTCTTGGGAGCTGCTTGGGGCTGCGGATCGTAGCGGTTTGAGATGCTTAGAACTCCTGGCTCGCCCCATTCCTGCAGTCAGCTGGAAGGAGGCTCCTGGTGTCTGGGATCGGGGACGGTGGAACGTGGCCTGTTGCCCTGCCCCTCCTGGGCCCCAGGGCCCTTTGAAGGCCAGCGTCCAGCTAAGCTGGCCAGCCAGGCAGGCAGGCATTACGGGCATGACTCAGCCCAAGCGGAGTTTAACAAGCAGCACCCAGCGCGGCCGCGCTTCTCTGCCTGAGCTTAAGGGCCAGACAGGCTGCAGGCTCAGCCGCCTTCCTGAGGCCCCGAGGCAGGGATGCAGGGCCCGGGCCGCCACCTCATCGAGACGTACTTCCTGCCCGCCCAGTGGCCACCCAGCCCCTGGCGTGGCCGACCTTCCGCCTGTGTCCCAGGGCTCAGCTCCCCAGTGGGCCGGGTAGGGATAGGGGCAGGGTCGGCCGGGGAGCTGGGCGCTGGGAAAGGTTATTGCAGGCCAATGCTCCCTTTATCTCGCCTCGGCCCCTCCTCTTCCTCGTGCCTGGGGTTGCAGCTGCCTCCGGGCCCTGCTCTCCTGCTCCCCTGCTCTGAGCAACTCTGGTTTCGGTTCCGAGTCCTCGGGGGAGGGGTGCAATGGCATCCACCTCCTGAAGGCCTGTGTGTCAGTCCCTGGGTCAGGTGGCCTCTTGCCCCTGGGCCTTGTCTCCCTGGCTGTGCTTCAGACTCCAGATTAGGAGAAAAGCGCCTACTCTGCAGCCTCAACCCCCTCCTGTCCTGTCGCGCACGCGGGCTGCAGGGCCTTGGCAGGCAGCCATGGCCTTGGGTGAGGCGCTTGGCACATTACCCGCAGCTACATTGTCAGCCCCAGCTGGCACTCCTGCCAGCTCCCAGCACGAGTCAGGATTGCCAGGGTGCTCAGAGGAGGCGTGCTCACTTCAGGAACAGGAGATTGGGCTTGGGGCGGAACCGCAGGATGCAGAGGACCTACCTATATGGTGAGGGCAAAAGAGAGATTTCTGGTTCTTTGGAGGACTTTCCTCTGGGCTAGCTTCAGGAAGTAGCATGTTGGCCAGAGGCTCCAATGGGGGGCTTGGGGGGAGGCAGTTTGCGTTCTCAATCTGGCTGGAAAGCAGCGTGGTTAAACAGGCCCCCATGGGTGGGCTGATTTTCCTTGTTGTGCAGGCATGTGGCTCATCCCAGTCCCACTGGTCGGTGTCCCAGTGGACACTGGCCCAGAACAGGTTAGGGCCGAGGTGCCTGACTGGCTGATGGGCAGACAGCAGAGTTTTCTGTTCTTATTGAGCTTTCAAAGAAGAGCGTTATTTAAACACAAATGCACCCGCATCTATACATGCTGCAACTCTTGTTGGCTTGTGAGCAAGATAAACTTTTCTTTAAAAAATATTTTTTAATTGATTTCCGGGAGGGGGAGAGAGAGGTAGGAACATCAATGATGAGAAAGAATCATTGATCAGCCGCCTCCTGCACGCCCCACACTGGGCACTGAGCCTGCCACCCGAGCATGTGCCCTGACCGGGAATTGAACCGTGACCTCCTGGTTCATAGGTCGATGCTCAACCACTGGGCCACACTGGCCAGGCGGTAAACCTTTCTTAATAAGGCAAAAGCATCATTTACAAAACTCTGGTTCTCTTGATGGCTCTGCAGAGTGGCCCAAATTCCACACCTTCAGGTTGTGTGAGCTTGGGCAGGTCGCTGCCTCTCTGGGCTTCTGTAGTATTTTACAGTGCAATGGAAATGAGAATACAGGTAGAGTAGCGTCTGGTGAGAATCAAATGGAGAGTCCAGTGCCAAAGCATTTGGCTAGAGAAATGGTGCCGGGGCTGGGCAGCTGTTGTCAGTCAGGGGTGGAAAGGCAGAGCCGGGATGCATGCTCCTGTGCTGAGCCAGGAATCCATGACCCAGTGGCTACCTGCCTCCCTGGATGCTGCCGCCACGGGAGGGCCTCTTTCTCTCCCACTCCCTTTCCTGCTCTCTCTTCTCCAGGCCTAAGATGGCAGGTTGTGGCCAGTGCAGGAAGGGGGAGGGGAGGGGAAGACGGGGAGGCCTCAGTTGGCCGTCAGGGGGGCAGGCCTTTGGGGCGGGCTCAGAAGCATGCCCTCCAGGTTGCAGTGGGAAAATGGAGTGGAAGTTTCTCACCCAGAAGATCCCTGGGGAAGGTAGTAAGATAAGGTGACCAGACATCCCGCTTTTGGCGGGACAGTCCCGATTTTTAATAATTTGTCCCGCGTCCCGCGGCATTTAAAAATTGTTAAAAATCGGGACTGTCCAAATCGGGGCTTTTTTAAAATGCCACAGGACATGGGACAAATTGTTAAAAATCAGGACGTCTGATCACCTTATAGTAAGAGACAGGACCAAGTTCTTCAAAATGCAGTACTGCTTTTTGCTTAGTTCAGGTTAGTCCTCCAGCCGTTACCCAAAAATACAGGCAATGTGGCTGGCTATCCCTGGCCCATGTCCAGAAGCTGCCCAGGGCAAAGAGAAGGGCATAGTGAGCTTCCCAACCAAATAGGTAGTAGAAAAAGGGAACCAGAATAAGCCTCTGCAGGTGAGGTCATGCATCCCTTCATCATTACGGTACCCCAGTGCCATGATGTTAGACAATCCCATACTGCCCCCCACCCCTGCCCTGAGTTTGAGGCCTTTTGACTGTAAACGTGGCCCAGTTGTAACCCACAGCTCTTAACCTTTTCCTGGCCATCCGATGACATGGCGCAGGTGTACTTGAATATTGAGACCTCTTGCTAGTGTCCCCATGGTAGCTACCATGAGGCCCCTCAGGCTCTCTCTGCCCCCCCCCCTTTGGCAGGTGGAGCTGGCCCTGCTGAAGGACTCCTACAAGGCCCTGGCTTCGCAGATCAACCTCATCCTGCTCGAGCGCCTGTGGTACGTCATGCTGGAGCAGTTCCTCATGAAGTATGTGTGGAGCGCCTCAGGCCTGCTCATGGTAGCAGTCCCCATAATCACCGCCACCGGCTACTCGGAGTCAGGTGAGAGCCGGCACTCCCAGGGGGTCGGGGCAGGGTCCAATGCTCAGCCGGTCCATCTGCTCCTGAGGCCTGGCTTCGTGGCAACCATTCTCCCTTGCTGCCTTCCCCTGTGAGTCTCCCCTTTACAGCATCTCACACTTCTGGGTACTGCTCAGCCGAGCACGGGGACTGACCCCTCACCAGGTGCCATGCCCTCCGCCAGCTGTGCCTATCCTTAACCCAAACTGGGAGGATGGGGAAGTACCTTGAGCAAGCCCCTTCCTCCCTGGGCCTTGATTTTCCCAGGCTGCAAACAACTCTGGCAGGTTTCAGAGTCTGACCTCTGCCGTAAGGCCTGGGGGGATTGGGAAGACTGTTCTGCCTGTTACTTTAGCAACCGGATTATCAGGATTCTGGTTGTATTCCTCTCCCAGTTTGCAACACATTCCTTCTATTTGCAGTCTTCTCAGGTTGCCCTTTCAATGGTTAACTTCTGTGCAAACGAAAAACAGTCTAGGTCAGCGATTTTCAACCGGGGTGCCGCGGCACACCGGTATGCCGCAAGATTTTTTTAAAACATGCAATACCTGACCATTTAGTCAGGGACACTGAACTCATTTCCCTTCGATGGTCCAATTTTAAAAAAATGACAACAGCCGACACAGCAATAGCCATCCAGCGTGGATCAAAATGATATCTATGTTTTTTGTCAGATCGGCAAAAAATATAGGATATTTTTGGTGTGCCGCAGAATTTTAGAAATTAATGTGTGCCATGAGATGAGAAAGGTGAAAAGAGCTGGACTAGGTTAATCCGATGGCTCCTCCTCTTCCTGGTCCTTAGAACGCTAACACAAGGATTAGCCCCGCTGACGTGTTACAGTCCAGTGTCACAGTTGCATTCCTGTGTGGGTTTTTTTTAAATTACTTTATTGATTAAGGTATCACATATTTGTCCTCATCCCCGCCCCCTCGTGTATGGGGTTTTTGTGTGTGTTTTTGTTTTTGTTTTGGATTTTTTAATATATATTTTTATTGATTTCGGAGAGGAAGTGAGGAGAGAGAGACAGAAATATCAATGATGAGAGAGAATCATTGATCGGCTGCATCCTGCATGCCCCACACGTGGGATGGAGCCTGCAACCCAGGCACGTGCCCTGACCAGGAATCGAACCATGATCTCCTGGTTCATAGGTCAATGTTCAACCACTGAGCCACGTCAGGTTATTCAAATGTGTTTTTTTTTTTCTTGGCTATTGCTGTTGGGCTGATGCATGTCTAAATCCATCACTGTGTTTACCGAACTCTCTGCTCACCAGTCCTTTCCCACAGCCTAGGCACCGTCCTCCAGATAGACATCTTTTAAAAGTTCTTTCTGTAAAGCTTTCATGAGGGACACTTCACAATTATTTTGTCTGGAAATGTCTTTATTTTACCCTTTTCCCCAAACTAAAGATTAGCTGGGTATGGGACCCAGGAGGGTAGTTATTTGCTCTTAGCCACTGACAATATTCCATTGTCTCTGCTGGAAAATCTGTTATCAGTTTGACTCCCCACGAAGCTGCATTGTCTCTCTGGTTGCTTTTAGATTTGCTTTCTCTGCTAGTCTGCTATTTCGCTTGGAAGTGTTACCCTGTGGGTTTCTGTTTATCCTGCCTTCGAATATTCAGATTTTTTAATTGGTCAGGAAAATTCTCAGCTGTTACCTTTTCAAATATTGACCTGTTCCTTCTGAACTCCTGCTGGCCGTCCTCCCTCCTCTGTGGCTCTTCCACTCATCCTGGGAGATTTTTTCAGATCTTCTTCTCACTCACTTGCCAATTTTCTCTTCAGCCAAGTCTCATTTGAACTTTTTTTTTTATTTAAAAAAAGGTTTTTTTATTGATTTCAGAGAGAGGAAGGGAGAGGGAGAGAGAGATAGAAACATCAATGATGAGCATGTGCCCGACCAGGAATTGAACCTTGACCTCCTGGTTCATAGGTTGATGCTCAACTACTGAGCCACACTGGCTGGCCTCATTTGAATTTTTAAAAAAATTTTAGTGACTACTTCTATCAAGTTCTGTTTGATTCTCTTTCAAATAGAAATTTTCATTTTCAAATAGAAATTTCAAATTGTTTTAGCAAGTGTCTGATTTTCTCATCTTTTGCCTGCTCCTTTTATGCTATATGTCATATTAATGATACACAGTCTCTATCCTGCTATTGAGTTATCTGAATTCTTGGGGGTATAAGCCAGCTTGATCTTTCATCTGCCAATCTTCACTCATGGTAGATTCTTTCCTTGTGAGTTTGTCTGTTTTTTTAAAAAATATTTTTAATTAATTTCAGAGAGAGGCAGAGAGAGAAAGAAACATTGATGAATCGGCTGCCTCCTGCAGACCCCTACTGGGAAATCGAGCCCACAATCGAGGCATGTGCCCTGATCTAACTCAAAACCTTCTGTTAGAAGGTTTAAGCAACTGAGCCACCCCTTTTGCGTTTGTTTTTCATCCTTACCCGAGGATATGTTTTTACTGATTTTGAGAGAGAAACATTGATCGGTTGACTTCCGTACGCGCCCCAAGTGGAGATTGAACCCACAACCTTTTTGGTGTATGGAACGATGCTCCAACCACCTGGCCAGGGCTCCTTGTGATTTTGGCCACAAGACTTTCCTGGGAACCCTATATGGCCTAACAGGAGGGTACAATTCCCCCAGTGCATATTGGCTTTTGTTTTGGCAAAGCACTCCTGGTAATTAACCACTTGGAGGCCATTTTCATATTCACCTCTCCGTTTGAGGAGGAGGAGTTCCTGAATTTGGCGGTAGTATTCATTGGCACCCCACACACATAATTACCGATTCTTAGAGGTGACCTTTTGTTCTCTGGCTACATGACCTATCTCTAGAGATTTCACTGGTGTACCTGGCTGCTGGCTTCTCTGTGGACTCTTAGGAATTTGCCTTGCTTTCCTACCAGCATAGCACTGTTTTCTTTTGATTGATTGATTGATTGATTTAGAGAAAGAGGGAGGTGTTGTTCCACCTATTCCTGCATTCATTGGTTGGTTCTTGTATGTGCCCTGACCAGGAATGAAACTGCACCTCGGTGAATGGGGACAGCAATCTAACCACCTGAGCTATATAGCACAGCTCTGCTTTCAAAGGCATACTAGTTAATGCAGTTTGGTAGTAAGGGTTTTCAGTTATGTAGAGAAAGAGCCTGACTTGTTTCAGAAGTCTCTCTCATTCTCTCCCTATTGGCTGCTCTGCCTTGGGGCCTCCCATAGGTTACTCTCAGCTGTCTGTCCCTCTCTGGGTGACCCCAAGAGAAAGGATCTCATTGGAGGGGGGTAGTTACTTTCCACCCATGGGCCTCTGTTAAGAGTGGCCCTGATTTATTTATTTTTATTATTATTATTATTATTTATTTTTATTTTTTTTAGCAATCAAGTGAAGCTTTATTAAAACATTTTCACTGGAAGTTAAAACATATGGGAGCCATGAAATATTGGCTCTTCCATTAGCTATTCAAAATAATTGAGGAGAACATATTTGGATGTAATGGGAAAGTAAGCATTAGGAAGAGTGGAGGCATTGAAAATAATAGAAATCAGCAATTCTTGTGTAAAGACATAGGTGGGATATATGGCCCTGTGCAGGTCGAGTTCCACTGTGCTTCTTAGAGACACTGCTGGAAAAAGGGTGAATGCCAGTAGCCAATGCCGCCACCAGTTCTATTACTGGGCAGTCTCATCCAACCCTGGCTGTAAGAACTCTGAGGGCACATGACCGGAAGTACTAAGGCAAGCCTACGGAGCATGTGACCTTGGACGCCATGACACCTTCCCTAGTTCCCTTCCTCCCCCAGCAGTTCCCACCTATTTCATTTCCTCTTACCGGCTTCAAGCTGTGAAGGGTCCTGGTGGGCACTTTGTCTTCCAAAAGTGGCCCTGATTTAGGCACAGGTGCCAGAGCCAGTCAGCATGCCTGGTCCAAAACATGGGGAGAAACTCATGAGGAAGCAGACCTGTGGTCTCAGGAAACACCTGCAGCCACTTCCCTCTGCGCCTGGCACTGGGCACAGCTCCGCCTGCATAGCACCTGAGGCCTCTCCCTCCCCGGAAGCCCTAGGACTTTTTGGATCCTCTGCTCTGTCAGACTTCACAGTGATTCAAGAAGCATGAGCTCCTGTCCCCAGCCTCTTAGCTGTGAAAATGTGCAATTCTCCTGTCTTGCTCATTCTGTCTCACTAGCCACCTTGCTATTGCTCCCAAACACCAGGCAGGCTTCTGCCTCAGGGATTTATTTATTTATTTATTATATTTTAATGATTGTTTTTTACAGAGAGGAAGGGAGAGGGATAGAGAGTTAGAAACATCGATGAGAGAGAAACATCAATCAGCTGCCTCCTGCACACCCCCGACTGGAGATGTGCCTGCAACCAAGGTACATGCCCTTGACCGGAATTAAATCTGGGACCCTTCAGTCCGCAGGCCAACGCTCTATGCACTGAGCCAAACCGGTTATGGCATGCCTCAGGGTTTTGCAGATGCTGCTCCCTCTGCCAGGAATGTGCTTTCCTCTGATATCCTGCCCTCCTACCAGCAGACTTTTGCCCACGGGCACCCTCTGGTTGAGGCCTGCCCTGCCTGTGACCCTGCCTTTCTGTTCTCCTTCACCACCTCCCTGTTCTCCCAAGCACTGAACACCCTATCTCTGTCACTTCTCTGGTTAATACTTCTTCTGCCCTTTTATTTATTTATTTTAAATACATTATTTATTGACTTTTTACAGACAGGAATGGAGAGGGATAGAGAGAAACATCGATGAGAGAGGAACATTCATCAGCTGCCTCCTGCACACCTCCTACTGGGGATGTGCCCGCAACCAAGGTACGTGCCCTTGACCGGAATTGAACCTGGGACCCTTCAGTCTGCAGGCCGACGCTCTATCCACTGTCTAACCGGGTTTAGGGCCTTTTATTTATTTTTATTTTTTAGTGTAGGAGGGGTTTTCTTTCATGTATTTTTATTGACTTCAGAGAGGAAGGGAGAGGGAGAGATAGAATGAAACATCAATTATGAGAGAGAATCAGGGATCGGCTGCCTCCTGCAGGCTCCACAATGGGGATGGAGCCCACAGCCTGGGCATGTGCCCTGACAGGGAATCGAACCGTGACCTCCTGGTTCATAGGTCAGCGCTCAGCACCTGTGCCACACCAGACCCCCTCTGTCCCTATAGACTGGGAGGTCAATGAGGGCATGGATTTTTGTCTGTTTTGCCCCTGCTATGAGGAGGCTCAGAGCACTGGGGGCCAGTGGGAGGATGCAGGCAGCAAGCATTTATCAACTAAGGAATATGTAAATGCCTTTGTCCTACTTGCCTCCTGGCCCTGCAAAGCTGGGTATCCTGTTGTGGGGCCTTGGTCTTAGCTGCCCTAGGGCAGTTTATTATGTCTCCAGGGAGGTGCCAGCTGTGGCCAGGATGCCCAGGCACCTGCAGACCCTTTCACTTTATGCGGTCACTGTGTAGCTCTCAGGGCATCCTGGGAGGAGGGCCTGTGTCCCTGGGGACACAGTGGGATGGAGGCCCATAACCTTAGACTAGGGGTGTCGAACTCAATCAGAGAAGGGGCCAAAATCTAAAATCCAGCCTAAATCGCGGGCCGAATGGTTTACTGAACAGTCATAAACTGTCATTGTGATGGAAACGCAGCGGAGTGCAGTGATGACAGCGAGGTGCGGGCCACATTGCAAGGCCTGGCGGGACGGATTTGGCCCGCGGGCCTTGTGTTTGACACATGTGCCTTACACTGTCCCAGTTCATGACCCACTCCCCTGTCCAGTTCCCTGGATTCTTGGGCCAGGCCCCAGGAGGTGGTGTGAGGCTCTCTAGCCAGCCATCGAGTCCCTTTTCTACCACACCCTGCACCCTCGCTGCTCTGAAGGCCATCTGCCCCGAGACAGCTTCCTGCCCCACCCATCACCGGATCCTTGAGGCTTCTCTCTCTGATCCATCTAAGTCCCTGGATACAACCCTTCCCACGACTTCAGCCTCAGGAGCCCTGGCTTCCTCTGGATAGCCCCAGTGGGTACTGCTCACCCACCCACACCCAGCACCCTCAGAATCAGCATTCCATTGCTCCTCGCTGCCAACATTTCTAGAACATTCCTTCTATAAAAGCCCTGCCCCTTTGGGTTTTTCCAAGGGTCAAGGAAGTCAAGGCCACTGACGGGAGGGCTGAAGTGAGCAACCATGGGGCCTAGATGGAGACAGCAAAGCAAGTCAAGACAGGAGCAGGCCTCAGGGAGAAGTCGGAACATGTAGGATGGCCGTTCTCGTGGAGGCCACAGAGGAGGTGAGGGAGAAATGGGGGCAATAGTGGGCGAAAGGGGATCGTCATGCTCAGGAGGCTTGGGGGGTGCAACAGCTCTGGGCATTAGGGGACAAGGTGCAGATGTGGCCTCAGAGGGGCTGCTGTGAATAGGAAAGGACACAGGGCAAGGACAGTCTAGGAAGGAGCTGGGTGTGGCAAGAAAGAAAGCCAAATGCCTAATGGCTCATTTTTTAAGTCTACGTTATTGAGATGTAATTAACATGCCGTACACTTCAGCCTTTTAAACTATTCAACTCAGTGGGTTTTATTTAGTTGGTTTTTATGGATTTTATTTTATATATATATATGTATGTATGTATATGTATATATGTGTGTATATATGTATATTTATTTATTTTTTTTATTATTGATTTTTTTACAGAGAGGAAGGGAGAGGGAGAGTTAGAAACATTGATCAGCTGCCTCCTGCACACACACCCCCACCTCCCGTGGGGATGTGCCTGCAACCAGGGTGCATGCCCTTGACCAGAATCGAACCTGGGACCCCTCAGTTTGCAGGCTGATGCTCTATCCATTGAGCCAAACCAGTCAGGGCAGTTTTTATGGATTTTAAGAGGAGAGAGAGAGAGAGAGAGAGAGAGAGAGAGAGAGAGAGAGAGAGAGAGAGAGAAATATGTAAGAAAGATATCGATCGGTTGTTTCTCCCACATGCCCGGACCAGGAATCCAACCCATGACCTTTCAGTGCTCGGGATGACGCTCCAACCAGCTGAACCACACCCTCCAGGGCAGTGGTTTTGAATATATTCCATAGTTGTGCAACCATCACCAGCATCTAAGGACAGAACATTGTCGTCACCCAAGAAAGAAAACCTGGGCATTTTAGCAGTCCCTCCCTGCCCCACCCCCAGCGCCTGGCACCCACTAATCTTTGCCTCACTATGGACTTGCCTCTTATGGACACCTCATAGAAAAGGAATCTCACAATATGAAGCCTTGTGTGGCTGGCTTCTTTCACCCAGCAGAACATTTACAAGGTTCGTCCACGTTGTAGGATGAATCAGTGTTTCCTTCCTTTTAGCAATACTATTCCATTGTATTCATGTACCACAATTTCTTTCTTCATTCATTAATGGGCACTTGTATTGTTTCCACTTGTTGGTTGCTATGGAAACGGTGCTATGATCATCGGTGTGCAAGTTTCTGCAGGGACATATATTTTTGCTTTGCCGGGATGTATACCTGGGAGTGAAATTGCTGCGTCATATGGTAGCTCTCTGTTTAACTTTTTGAGGAACTGCCAAACTGGTTTCCACAGCGGCTGTACCATTTTACATCCCCGCCAGCAGTATCTGAGGGGTCCAATTTCTGCACTTCCCTCGCCAACACTTGTTATCTCTTTAATTATAATCCTCTTAGTAGGTGTGAAGCGGTATCTCGTTGTGGTTTTGATTTGCATTTCCCTGATGACTAATAATGTTGAGCATCTTTTCATGAGTTTATTGGCCATTTGTATGTCTTAGACATACAATAGAAATGTCTAGTAAGGAATGTTGCCCATTGTTTAATTGCATTATTTATCTCTTTGTTGTTGAATTGAACAAGTTCTTTATATATTCCGGATACTAGATCCTTCTGAGATTATGATTTGCAGATATTTTCTCTTAGTCTGTAAGTTGTTCTTTCACTTTCTTGATGATTTTTTTTTTTTTTGGTGCCCAAAAGTTTTAAATTTTGGCGAATATTATTTATGTGTTTCTATTTTATTGATTGGACATTTGATATCATATTTAAGGAGCCACATGTAATCTGAGGTCACGAAGACTTACATGTGGCTTCTCCTAAGAGTTTTGTAGTCTCAGTTCTTACATGCAGATCAGTGCTCCCCTTTGAGTTAGTTTTGGTGTGAGATGGGGGGGGGGGGTGTTCATTCTTTTGCTTGTGGAAACCCATTCATCCCACCACCATTTGCTGGATAGACTCGTCTTTCCCCCAGTGGGTCCATTTTAATCTCCCACTATCCCCGCCTCTCCCCTCTGCTGTGCTCCACAGATTCAGAAGCCGTGAAGAAGGCAGCCATGGAGATGAAGGAGGAAGAGCTGGTGAGCGAACGCACGGAAGCCTTCACCATTGCCCGAAACCTCCTTACAGCTGCTGCGGATGCCATTGAGCGGATCATGTCATCCTACAAGGAGGTACCCCACCCCCGCGAGTCCACCCCTACCATGCCCTCCATCCCACCCCCGAGATGGCAGCGGCTGAGCCAGGGTCCCCCTTCCTTCCTGCAGGTGACGGAGCTGGCCGGCTACACGGCCCGGGTACATGAGATGTTCCAAGTATTTGAAGATGTCCAGCAATGCCGTTTCAAGAGGCCTGGGGAGCCAGAGGATGCACAGGCGGGGACCGGGGCTGTGGTCAGGTCTGGTGTCCGCGTGGAAGGTCCCCTGCAGATCCGAGGTAAGGGTGCCCTCCCTAGAGAGGCCCCGCTGGTCCCTGCCTTCCCAGCATTGGCCAGTTTATCCAAGGTGAATGGTTTCCATGCGGGCCCAGTGGAAGCCCAACTAGACAAAGATCAGAGGCCCCACTGGTCCCTGCCCTCCCAGCACTGATTGAGACAGAACTGATTAGCCATTGAGACAGAACTGACGTTCCCAGAAGGCGGACTCTTTAAGTTGTGCTCCCAAGGAGGGCTTCTTGGGCCATTTGTGACTCTCACTGCCCATTCCCTTCCAAGTGCCCTGACTGGGATTTCTCTTTGCAAAAGGGAGGATGTGGTCCTGGAGCAGAGGGAGTCCCTTGCCCATACAAGCAGCAGGAGAAAGTTCAAGCCTACAGTAGGGGCCAGGATGCTGTGGAAGAGGGGTGCACTGTCTGAGCCACCACTCAGGTGGTGCCAGGAGGGGGCAGAGCAGGAGTTCGAGACCCCATAGAAACGGCCTGGCCCCTCCCCACACAGAGCACAGCATCAGACACTGGTGGGGGCACAGGGACCATGCGTGTAGGAAGACCCGCTGTACACCCAAGGGGCCTTGTACCACACACTGGCACGCTGTTGGGGGTGGGGGGTATGTGGAACTTACCAGAAGGCAAAAGGAATGCTACTGCACCTAGCTTCCTTTTTTGTGCTCTCTCCCCAGGCCAAGTAGTGGATGTGGAGCAGGGCATTGTTTGTGACAACATCCCCATCATCACCCCCACGGGAGAGGTGGTGGTGGCCAGCCTGAACATCAGGGTAAGTTGAACGGCCTTCTGCATCTACAAGCCCCAGCCCTTGGCATCCAGCCTGGCTACCTGCCTGTGTTGTCAACAGCCGTTGTCCCAAGATCTACGTGGCAGGCGTGCAAAGGTCAAGGTAGAAGACCAACGTGTCTCTGCCTGTTAGCTGTGGGGCAATGGAGACAGAACTGATAAAAGACACTCGAGATTACTAGGGTTAGCCAAGAGTCACCTGAAGGTTCCTGGCTTTATCGTAGCCAGCCCCACCCCCACCCCACCCCTGTTCCACAGAAGCCTAGGACTTAGGGACTCTGGTGTAATTCCAACGGTGGTGGAAGAGATTGCTCTCTACTGACCTGGGCTTGGGGTCCCATCTGTCTGCTTCAAGAAGCCCCCAGTGCAGCTGTGACTGGCCCCCCATCCGTGGAAAGGAAGCCTTGGTGGCTGACATCCACTAGTCAACTGTGTCCCCAACCTGAACTTTGGTTGCAGAACGATGGAATGAAGGATAAATCTATGGGGGCAGGCACAGAACGTGAGAAGGAGTCATTTGTTCATTCATTCATTTATTCATTCAACCAGTATTTTCTGAGCTCCAGGAGAGGCACTGGAAACCAGAGGTAGATCAGGGAGACGCCTGCCCTCTGCGAGGCCCCACTCTGGGGGCCCTAAAATGTTACAAAGATCCCCAGTTAGACAGCTGCCCAGGGTCTAGCAGGGGCTATAGGAAGGGAAAGAGCAAAGGTCAGGTGAAGCTTCATTCAGGAGCTTCCAGCCAGGTGGACAGCGTGGTGAAGAAGACCTCTCCAAAAGAACAGGCAGGGGAAATGCAGCGGAGTGATGGGAGTGAGAGACAGGTGCAGCAGGAGCCATGGTTGGGCAGGGAGTATGTGGAAGATTTGAGTGGAAGGTTGGTGCCTAGGGCTCCTTTCTTTGATCTTCTGAGAGGAGCCCTGAGAGCCAGTTGGAGGCTGGGAACATGTCAACCGCAAGCAGCACAGGACAATGGTATGATCTCCCCCTTGCCCACAGCAGTGGTCATTCTTGGCCGGTTTATCCAGGGTGAATGTTTTCCATGTGGGCACGGTGGAAGCCCAACTAGACAAAGATCAGCAGCCCTAGCCCTAACCTGTTTGGCTCAGCGTCGGCCTGTGGACTGAAAGGTCCCGGGTTCGATTCCGGTCAAGGGCATGTACCTTGGTTGTGGGCACATCCCCAGTAGGGAGTGTGCAAGAGGCAGCTCGTCCATGTTTCTCTCTCATCGACGTTTCTAACTCTCTATCCCTCTCCCTTCCTCTCTGTAAAAATTCAATTTTATATATATAGATCAGCAGCCCTAGTGAGCAGGGACTCAGCTGGGTAGGAAGCAAGGCCAGGCAAGGAGCTGGGCTCTGGGGCTGGGGAGATATTGGGGAAGGGGAGCAGTTCTCAGCCAGATACTGGGGTGAGAAGGACAGCGGGAGAGATTCAGAGAAGGAAACAGAACCCTCACACATCTAGAAGGAAGGAGGCCCAGGCCCCACCCGAGGGGGTTTATGGTCTAACCAAGGACCACAAAGTGAGGGGCTCAAACAACCGAAGTGGAATCTCTCCCAGGTTTGGAGCCTGGAAGTCCAGACCAAGGCGTGTCCTGAGAGCAGTGAGGAAGAATGTTCCAGGCATCCCAGCTGACCACCATTGGATGTTCCTTGGCTTCGCTTTAATCTCAGCCTCCATCTCCACATGGTGTTCTCCCTGTGTTTGCGGCTTTGTGGCCACATCCCCCCTTTTTATAAATAAGGACACCAGTCACATTGAATTAGGGGTCGACATACTCCAGGATGACCTCATCAAAATTGAACTAATTACAACTGCAAAAGCTATTTCCAAATAAGGCCACATTCTTAGGTCCTGGGGATTAGGACTGCAACACATGAATTTGGGGGGGACACAGTTCAACCCCCACACTGACCGAGGTAAGCCAAGGAAGGCCTCACATGAGCCGCACTCAGAATGTCCAAGGACTTTGGAAGCCGGTAGGTGGCCCGAGGACAGCATTCTCCCTGCCCTCTGACCCCTCCTTCCCAAACACCTACCTCTCCACAGCTCCACTGGCTTTTTTTCACTAGCCAGTGAGCACCATGTGATTGGCCAGTTGGGGAGCCTGAGGCCCTTGACACTGAGCCTGGAGGTCACAGTGGCATCTCTGTGGCTCCCTAGTATCCATGGGGGCAGTGAGAGGGCTTCAGGGAGCAGCTAAAGTTCACTGCCCATCTTTAAAAAATTTTTTAAATTTCTTTATTGATTAAGGCATCACATATTTGTCCTCAACCCCCCATTCCAATCCCCCACCCCTCCCCACTCATGCCCCCACCCCCCTATTGTCTTTGACCACTGGTTAGGCTCATATGTATGCACATAAGTCCTTTGGATAATCTCTCCCTTTTATCCCCACCCTCCCTTTGAGGTCCGACAGTCTGACCCATGGCTCCTAATCTCTGGGTCTGTTCTTTTTTTAAAAAATAAATTTTTATTGTTCATATTATTACAAATGTTCCTTTTTCCCCACCACCACCACCACCATTGCTCTCCTCCACCAGGTTCCCACCCCACCCTCTGCCCTTTCCCCACTCCCCATTGTCCTCATCCATAGGTGCGCAGTTTATATTCAGTCTCTTCCCACATCCCTCTCTCCCCTTTTCCCCAAGAATCGTCAGTTCACTCCCCTTCCATACCTCTGATTCTATTATATTCAACAGTTAATATTTTTTTAAATAAATCTTTATTGTTCAGATTATTACAAATGTGATCCTCTTCCCCCCCTCAATTGCTCCCCTCCACCAGGTTCCCACCCCACCCTCTGTCCTTTCCCCATCCCCCATTGTCCTCATCCATAGGTGCACAGTTTTTGTTCAGTCTCTTCCCGCACCCTCACTCCCCTTTTCCCCGAGAATCGTCAGTCCACTCCCCTTCCATACCTCTGATTCTATTATATTCACCAGTTAATATTGTTCATCAGATTTTTTTAATTTCCTTGGTTTTTAGACTCACTTGTTGATAGTTACGTATTTGTTGATCATAATTTTTATCTTTATCTTCTTCCCCTTCCTAAATAACCCCCTTCAGCAATTCATATAATTCTGGTTCGGCAGTGATGAACTCTTTTAGCTTTTTTTATTTGTGAAGCTTTTTAACTGTCCTTTGATTCTGAGTGATAGCTTTGCTGGGTAGATTATTTTTGGCTGTAGGTTCTTGCTATTCATCACCTTGAATATTTCTTGCCATTCCCATCTGGCCTGCATGGTTTCTGTTGAGAAATCAGCTGACAATCGTATGGGTGTTCCTTTATAGGTAACTACCTGCTTTTCTCTTGCTGCTTTTAATATTCTCTCTTTGTCTTTTGCTCTTGGAATTTTAATTATGATGTGTCTTGGTGTGTTCCTCCTTGGATTCCTTTTGTTTGGAGTTCTGTGGGCTTCCTGGACTTGTAAGTCTATTTCTTTCCCCAGGTGGGGGAAGTTTTCTGTCACTATTTCTTTCAATATTCTTTCTGTATCTTGCTCTCTCTCTTCTTCTGGAATTCCCATAATTCTGATGTTGTTTCGCTTGAAATTGTCCCAGAGGTTTCTTACACTATCTTCAACTTTCTGGATTCTCTTATCTTCTCCCTTCTGCAGAGGAGTATCCTCTGGCTCTTCGTGTTCTAAATCTTTGTCTTGATTCTTGCAATCTTCCAGTCTGTTTTTAGGACTTTGTATAATATTTTTTATTTCAGACAATGTTTTCTTCATTTCTTGTTGATCCCTTATTATTTCTAGTTGCTCCCTTTTCATATCCTCATAGGTCTCATTTATTTTATCGGCCTTTTTTAGGATATTGTTGAATAACCTTATAACTGTAGTTTTGAACTCAATGTCCAATCTTTTCTTTTCCTCCATCTCCTTCCTTTCTCTCCTTCCTCTTGTCTGCATTTTAGTTGTTTCCCTGATTTGATGGAATAGCTTTGTGTGCTAGGTGTTCTGGTAGAGCACAGCCTTCCCAGTTACCTGCGGTGGACAGTTTTGGTGTAGCCCTTTGTGGGCTGTGTGTGCAGTCTTGTTGTTAAGCCTTGCTTATTGTTGGTATCACTGAGAAGCTTTGATCTCCAAACCAATTGGCTGTGAGGATCAGCAGAGTCTCAGCTAGGAGGGCTTCTGTACTCTGCTTGGATAGGGCGGGGTCTCGGGGTGGCGCAGACAAGCTTTGGTTCCCTGTCAGTCTGGCCTTAGAAAAGACCTGTTCTCGGAGAGTTTCGGAAGATTGGTTGCAGGCACGCGCACCTCTTTGGTAAAGGCACAAACAAGCTTTGGGTTCCTGCCTGTCCCTCCTTAGAGAAAGCCAGCCTCTGAGAGAGCTTCTGTGCTCAGCCAGAGATTGGGTGGAGTCTCAGGTTGGTGCAGACAAACTGTTTTCCCTTGGGCTCCTCCCCAAGTCCCGCAATAATGGCCTCTGGCTTCACACACCTCTGAGAGATCTCTGCCCACTGCCTGACAGTCTGGCCTCTCCCTGTCTGGGGCCGTCTATCAGAGCAATAGGGTGATTCTGTTTTCCTCTTGAACAAGAAAGCCAGTTGCGCATTAGCCGTCTGCCCTCTCCGCGCACCGGGAGTAAGCCAGTAGCGAACTCAGCCCGGCCCGCCCTCTCCGCGCTCCGGGAGTCCGCCAGCAGCAATCTCTGTCAGGCCCTTCCTCTCCGTGCGCCAGGAGTAAGCCAGCGCCTTTTCACGCACACAGTTCTCCATACCTTCACAGTTCCTGAGGTTCAGCGTGCCTTCTCTCTCCTTCCCAGATGGCAGAGCCTCCTCTCAGCTAGCCGTCCGGTGCTTCAGGGCAATGCCTCCCCTGTTTTTCAGTTCTAAATTCAAATTTGTTGTGGGAGGCTGCATTCGGGTGTCTACCCTATGCCGCCATCTTGGTGTCTCTCTATATTCAACAGTTAATATTGTTCATTGGATTTTTTTTTTAATTTCCTTGGTTTTTAGATTCACTTGTTGATAGTTACGTATTTGTTGTTCATAATTTTTATCTTTATTTACTTTCTCTTCTGAAAGAACCCCTTTCAGCAATTCATATAATTCTGGTTTGGTGTTAATGAACTCCTTTAGCTTTTTTTTTTTTAATTAGTTTAGCTCTTTATCTGGCCTTCGATTCTGAGTGATAGCTTTGCTGGATAGATTATCTTTGTCTGTAGGTTGTTACTATTCATCACCTTGAATATTTCTTGCCATTCTCGTCTGGCCTGCATGGTTTCTGTTGAGAAATCAGCTGACAATCGTATAGGTGCTCCTTTATAGGTAACTACCTTCTTTGCTCTTGCTGCTTTTAATATTCTCTCTTTGTCTTTTGCTCTTGGAATTTTAATTATGATGTGTCTTGGTGTGGTCCTCTTTGGATTCCTTTTGTTTAGAGTTCTGTGAGCCTCCTGGACTTGTAAGTCTAATTCTTTCACCAGGTGGGGGAAGTTTCCTGTCACTATTTCTTTCAGTATGTTTTCGATATCTTGCTCTCTCTCATCTTCTGGGACCCCCATAATTCTGATGTTGGTTCACTTGAAGTTGTCCCAGAGGTTTCTTACATTATCTTCAATTTTCTGGATTCTCTTGTCTTCTAGCTTCTGCGGAGGAGTGTCTTCTGGCTCTTTATGTTCCAACTCTTTGACTTGATTCTTGCGATCTTCCATTCTGTTTTTAGGACTCTGTATAATATTTTTTACTTCAGTCAATGTATTCTTTATTTCTTGTTGATCCCTTATCATTTCTTGTTGATTCCTTATTAATTCTAGTTGATCCCTTTTCATATCCTCATAGGTCTTATCCATCTTTTCTAGGAAATTCTTGAAAAACCTTATAAGCGTAGATTTGAACTCTATATCCAGTCGCTTTTTGTCCTCTATTTCTTTCGTTTGTGATCTATTTCGTCTAGGCATTTTCACAGCTTCCCTGATGGGGCGGGGTTTCAGGGTGGAGCCTATAGCCTTGGCTTCCATCAGCCCCACCCTATGCAGCTCCTGGGTTTCAGGGTCCTTCGGTACTCGTTGCAAGAGCCTCTGAGAGAAAGATGCCCTCGATTTTCGCCTGCTACCAAACAGTCTAGGCTCTCCCACAATGAGCCCGGAACTGGGGTTCAGTTCAGTTGGAAGTGGGGTTGGAGGTGGCTTTCAGAGCAGTCTGGAGCCCCTGTCTCCTTCCCGCCAGGGCAATTCCGCGGCACAGCCAACCATCCCTTCTCTGCGCACAATGTGCATGCCTCCGGGACCTCCTCTCACCGCTCCCCCGGGGTTCCGCCTCACAGCCCAGCTCTCTGTGGATGAGCCTGGATCCCCGGGGTCTGGCCTAGAACTGGGGTTCAGAGCAGTCGGAACTGGAACCCAGCACAGTCAGAGTTTTATCTCCTTCCCGCTAGGGAACGCCAGCCAGGCACTCAGCCGCCCTGCCCTTCCTCTCCAGCTCCGTCCTCTCCGCGTGCCATGTGTCTCCGTCCCTCAGGCTTTTACAGCTCCTCCGCGCTTCCTTCTGGTTTTCTCCTTGCTTCTCGTTGTAGAATTTCCAGTCAGTCGACTTTCCTGTAGTTCTGGGTAATGTCCATTTTATATTTTATTGAAATTGTTGTGAGCGGCTGCGGCTAGGTGTTTACCTGTCAGCCATCTTGGAACGACCCAAAAAATTTTTAATATATTTTATTGATTTTTTTTACAGAGCGGAAGGAAGAGGGATAGAGAGTTAGAAGCATCGATCAGCTGCCTCTTGCACACCCCGCACTGGGGATGTGCCCGCAACCAAGGCACATGCCCTTGACCGAAATGGAAACCGGGGACCCTTGAGTCTGCAGGCCGATGCTCTATCCACTGAGCCAAACCGGATTCGGCTTACTGTCCACCTTTTAGAACTCTAAAGAAAGCACCTTTCCTGCCCTAGCGGATGTGGCACACCCTGGCCAGTGTGCACAATGGTTAGAGCATCTGCCCTGTCATAGAAGAGTCACGGCTTCAATTTCTAGTCAAGGGCACATACCTGAGTTGATCCCAGGCCCCAGTCTTTGTGCATTTGGGAGGCAACCAATCAGTGTGTCTCTTTGGCACCAATGTTTCTCTTCGTTTTCTTTCTCTCTCCCCCTCTCCCTACATACTATTCCCACTCTATAAAAATTTTTTTTTATTGATTTCAGAGAGGAAGGGAGAGGGAGAGAGAGATAGAAACATCAATGATAGAAAATCATTGAACCATTGATCCTGCATGCCCCCCACTGGGGATCCAGCCCCTAACTTGGGCCTGTGCCCTGACCAGGAATCCAACCATGACCTCCTGGCTCATAGGACAACACTCAACCATTCAGCCACACTGGTTGGGCCCCCAGGCAGTTCTTAAAGAGAAAATTCTGAAGTGGAATGGGGATGCTATTGACTTTCTGGGGCTTGAACCCATTCATATGGCTGTGGCAGAATAGGCCCTCCCCCCCGTTGGCCCCATATTTTGTGGTGTGTGTTAGGGCCTTAAAGGGACAGGCTGGGGCCCAAAACAGGCATTTGATTAGGACTCTGGATGCTTGACCGGGAGGGCCTACCCAGTGTGCACCTGGGTACAGGTAGTTGTCAAGGGCTGTCAGAAAGGCCAAAGGTGAGAGGAGAGAGGACTACACCTCCTCTCGGTACTAGGAGTGAGCCATCCACACTGGCACTGCCTCCACAGGTGGAAGATGGCATGCACCTGCTCATCACAGGCCCCAATGGCTGCGGCAAGAGTTCTCTGTTCCGGATCCTTGGTGGGCTCTGGCCCACCTATGGAGGCGTGCTCTACAAGCCCCCGCCCCAGCGCATGTTCTACATCCCGCAGAGGTGAGTGGCGCAGGGAGAGGGAGGGAGCCAGGGCCCCCAGCTGTGCCCCTTGCCCCTTCCCCACCTGCGGAACTGACACCATGGAGATGGTAGAGCTTGGGGCCTCCGGAGAGGACAGCAAGATGCTGTCCCAGAATCAGAGGGACTATGGAGCCTTCGCTTGCCCCCTACCACGCCCCCTCACCTGGTGACTTTACAGCTGCGGGGTGTGCATGCATGAGGGTGCACACTGCAGAGGGGCGTGACTGTGTGCATGTGAACATGTGCATGTGTGTGCTGTGTCAGTGCATGCACACACGTCTCTGCGTGCAGGGCGAGTGTGTGGTGGGCACGTGTGAGTGTGTGGGCCTGGTGGGCATGGGCAGGTATGAGCACTGCCTAGGCAGGGGTCCTCAAACTTTTTAAAGTGGGGGCCAGATCACGGTCCCTCAGAGAGCTGGAGGGCCGGACTATATGAACTACTAATTCCTACTGTAACACCTCGGCTGCGCTCACTGCCCAAAAAACCTGGCGGGCCGGATCAGACTCCTCTGCGGGCCGCATGTGGCCAGCGGGCCGTAGTTTGAAGACGCCTGTTAAGAGCACTTGTTGCGGGATCTGTGGGCTTCAAGTTCTCCCCACCTCTGGCAGCCGGGGCCCAAACAGACAGGGCGCGGGCAGGGCTGCCCGGCCCCCCATGGACATGCAGCTTTCCCACAGGCCCTACATGTCCGTCGGCTCCTTGCGTGACCAGGTGATCTACCCGGACTCAGCGGAGGACATGCGAAGGAAGGGCTATTCAGAGCGGCACCTGGAGGCCATTCTGGACATCGTGCACCTGAACCACATCCTGCAGCGGGAAGGAGGTAGGGGGTGGGACATGCTCCTCTCATCACCTAGGGGTGAGCCATCCACCCAGCAACCTGCTGCCATCCCAGCCCCTGCCTCCCTAATCCACGATGCCAATGTGCTAGGTGCCCCAAGAGCTCCCCTAACAGGGAGGACTGACAGGAAGCGGGTGGCTCAGGCCGAGGGGGCGGGCATCCAGGTGGTGCTTGCCATCTGGTGAGATGCTCCCAAGCTGGGAGATGAGGGAATAGGAAGGGCCGAGAGCCCTCACAGGGAAAGAAGCCCTTGGAAGGCTTGAGGCAGGGAAGTTCCAGGTCAGTGTCGCATTTCAGTAAGAGGACTGACCTCTGGTGTGGGGGCGTGGGCAGGGCAGCTGGGGAGGAGCCCACACTGGCGTCTGCGCAGAGGTGGAGGGGATATCCCGTTTTTTGCCTCGATCCTGGGAGGTGCCATCCCCTGAGAAGGAGAGGAGGGAGGGACAGCCTGGTGGCCAGAGAAAGCATTGGTCTGGGGCTTACCCGGTTTGTCTGCGAATGCCTGTGGGGCCTATAGGTGAGGAGGAGAGGGCGGGACCCAGCGCAGAGCTGAGCTGACTTTCCTAGTGAAACCTGAGCCGCAGGGTTCCACTTCCTGCCTCTGCCTCTGCCTCTTAGGGGCAGCTTGACCTTGAGCAAAGACCTCACCTGAGCCTCTCTCCCTAAGCACCAGCGTTAAATAAAACAACTGCCAGGGTCACAGCACCTGCACAGGAGGAGGGCCGCAGGTGGTGGAGTCCAGGATGCCAGTCATGCTGAAGCTTCTTCATCCCCAGCTTCCTCTTGGCCTGGCTCGACCTCTTTTTTGTTTTTTTTAAATATATTTTTATTGATTTTTTTACAGATAGGAAGGGAGATGGATAGAGAGCCAGAAACTTCGATGAGAGAGAACTATTGACCAACTGCCTCCTGCACACTCCCCACCGGGGATGTGCCCACAACCAATGCACATGCCCTTGACCGGAATCGAACCTGGGACCCCTTAGTCCGCAGACCGACGCTCTATCCACTGAGCCAAACCGGTTTCGGCTCAACCTCTTTTTGCTCCAGCCACCCTCCCCTTAGAAGTGTGCCCCTCCTGTCCTCCAGGCACCCCTCTGTGCCTGGGGTCCTTGAGGCCAATCATCATACCCTATTAGCATTGAGTTCAGCTCTCAATAACAGAAACACACACACACATGCACATGCACACACATGCACAGTGGCTCAAGTCGCTCACAAGTTTATCTTCCTGTGACACAAAAGTCCCGAGGAAAGCAGGACACAGTTGGTGGAGCAGCCCTGCTCTGTTTGGACCTTTGTTTTCAAAGTCACCAAGTCACCTCATGGCCCAAGATGGCTGTTCCTGCCATCACATCATATCCCAGGCCATAGGATGGAGGAAGTAGGGGGAAATGGTATATGCCATCTGTCTCTCTCTCTCTCTCTCTCTCTCTCTCTCTCTCTCTCTCTCTCTCTCTTTAAATATGTTTTTATTGATTTTTAGAGAAAGAGGGAGAGACAGACTGGGGATTGAGCCAGCAACCTGGGCAGGTGCCCTGACCTGGAATCAAACCGGTGACCTTTTTTTTTTTAAATAGAATTTTATTGATTTTTTTTACAGAGAGGAAGAGAGAGGGATAGAGAGTTAGAAACATTGATGAGAGAGAATCACCGATCAGCTGCCCCTTGCACACCCCCCACTGGGGATGTGCCTGCAACTAAGGTACATGCTTTTGACCGGAATCAAACCCAGGACCTTTCAGTCCGCAGGCCAGCGCTCTATCCACTGAGCCAAACCAGTTTTGGCCAAACCGATGACCTTTTGATGCACGGGACAACACCCAACCAACTAAGCCACATCAGCCAGGGCAGTGCCATCTGTCTGTCTGTCTTTCTTTCTTTCTTCTTCTTTTTTTTTTTTTCTTTTTTTTTTTTTAAATGTATTTGTATTGGTTTTAGAGAGGAAGGGAGAGGGAGAAAGAGATAGAAACATCAATGATGAGAGAGAATCATTGATCGGCTGCCTCCTGCACACCCTCCACACTGGGGATCAAGCCCACAACCCAGGCATGTGCCCTGTCTGGGAATCGAACCTGGGACTCTTCAGTCCGCAGGCTGACACTCTATCCACTGAACCAAGCCAGCTAGGGCGTGCCATCTGTCTTTTAAAGGAAGCTCCAGAAGCTAGAAGCTGCCACATGTGTAACACTTAAACCTCATTGGCCAGGATGTAGTCACATATTCATATACCTCAAGGCAAGCTAGGGAGTATAGTCTTTTTTTTTTTTTAATATATATTTTATTGATTTTTTACAGAGAGGAAGGAAGAGAGATCGAGAGCTAGAAACATCGATGAGAGAGAAACCTCGACCAGCTGCCTCCTGCACACCCCCTACTGTGGATGTGCCCGCAACCTAGATATATACCCCTGACCAGAATCGAACCTGGGACCCTTCATTCCGCAGGCCAACACTTTATCCACTGAGCCAAACCAGTTTCGGCAGGAGTATAGTCTTTTTGAGGGTACCATGTACTCTACCAAAACTTCTAGTTCTGGAGGGAGACAAAGTGACAGTAGGTAAGGAGCCATTTCGGGTGAATCATACACACACCTGCTCATTCAGGCAGCTGCCTGAGCCTTACCGAGGGACTGGCACAAGGCAGCGATACAAAGGCCTGGTACCTAGTGGTGAGAAGCCTTCTGGAGAGACCACGCCGGCCTTCCTGGGGCTGGCTCTTCACTGGCACCCTGTCAGGTCCTGGATGAGTTTGCTGGGGCTACCGGAACAAAGCACCCCAGAATGATCAGCTGAAACAGCAGAAATATATTAGCCCCAGCTCTGGAGGCTGAAGTCCAAGATCAATGTGTCAGCAGGGTTGGCTCCTTCTGAGGGCTATCAGGGAACATCTGTCCCAGGCCTCTGTCCTTGGCTTGTAGACAACCATCTACGCCCTCTGTCTCCTCACGTCTTTTATTTTTATTTTTTTATTGATTTTTTACAGAGAGGAAGGTAGAGGGATAGAGAGCCAGAAACATCAATGAGAGAGAACCATCGATCAGCTGCCTCCTGCAGCCCCCCACCGGGGACGCGCCCGCAACCAAGGCACATGCCCATGACCGGAATCGAACCCCGGACCCCCCAGTCTGAAGGCTGACGCTCTATCCACTGAGCCAAACCGGCCTCGGCCTCACATCATCTTTTCTCTATTATATCTTTGTGTCCAAATTTCCCCTTTTTAAAAGGACACTTATTGTATTGGATCAGGACCCACCCTAGGGACATCACTTGAACTTGATCAGCTCTGTAAAGACCTTTTCTCCAAATATGTCACCTTCTAAGTCATGGGGATTAGGACTTCTTTTGGAGGGGGTACAATTCTGGTCTCAGCTTCTTTTTGACTACTAAAGTATCGCCTACAGCCCAGGCGGTGTGGCTCAGAAGTAGAGTATTAACCTATGAACCAGGAGGTCACGGTTCGATTCCCGGTCTGGGCACGTGCCTGGGTTGCGGGCTTGATCCCCAGTGTGGGGCATGCGTGAGGCAGCAGATCAATGATTTTCTCTCATCAATGATGTTTTAGTCTCTCTCTCCCTTTTCCGTCTCGGAAATCGATATATATATATATATATATATTTTTTTTTTTTTTTTTCCCCCCAAAACCGGTTTAGCTCAGTGGATAGAGCGTTGGCCTGTGGACTGAGAGGTCCCGAGTTCGATTCCGGTCAAGGGCATGTACATTGATTGGGGGTGTGCAGGAAGCAGCTGGTCGATGTTCCTCTCTCATTGATGTTTCTGGCTCTCTATCCCTCTCCCTTCCTCACTGTAAAAAATCAATAATATATGTGTGTGTGTGTGTGTGTGTGTGTGTGTGTGTGTGTATATATATATATATATATATATATAATTTTTTTTTTAAGTATCACCTATAGACAAACACCCAAAGCACAAAGAGTCAGCTGTTGACCTTCCTCGGAGTCATCTTCCACTGTCTCGTGTTCCCCAGCCCCCTCTCACCATGCCCACCACGCCCAGTGGGCCTGGGCCCTTGTTGCATTGAACAGAGACCCCCTTGTCCCCTGCCTAGGTTGGGAGGCCGTGTGTGACTGGAAGGACGTTCTGTCGGGGGGCGAGAAGCAGAGGATCGGCATGGCCCGCATGTTCTACCATAAGTGAGTGGGCTGTCCAGGGTGCTAGGCTCCCTCGGGCACTGGCTGCGGCTCAGCATGCATGCTCCCTGGGGCCTCCTTAAGGGGGAAGGCAGTACTGTTAGGAGGCCCCAGCAGGAATTGGGCCCCAAGGGGTGGGGGATGGGGGCCAGACCAGGTCAACAGCAATGGAGGGACCACAGCCTCGCCCGCTCTGCCCCTACTCTCAAGGCCAAAGTATGCCCTCCTGGATGAATGCACCAGCGCTGTAAGCATCGACGTGGAAGGCAAGATCTTCCAAGCGGCCAAGGATGCTGGCATCGCTCTGCTTTCCATCACCCACCGCCCCTCCCTGTGGTAGGTGCCCTCCCTTCTTCCCTGGAGTCGGGGAGGGAGCACCCTTCGTGAATTCTACACCCCCGCTGCTTTGGGGGGGCGGGGGGTTGCTGCCATCCGGGGAGCAGGGGACCTTCCACGCATCTGCTGCTGAGCAGCCCCTGCGTCTCTGCCCCTGTCCCTCTCCCCGCCCAGGAAGTACCACACGCACTTGCTGCAGTTCGATGGCGAGGGCGGCTGGAAGTTCGAGAAGCTGGACTCAGCCGCCCGCCTGAGCTTGACGGAGGAGAAGCAGCGGCTTGAGCAGCAGCTGGCGGGCATCCCCAAGATGCAGCAGCGTCTTCAGGAGCTCTGCCAGATCCTGGGCCAGGGCCAGGGCTCCAGGGTCGTCCAGGGCGCTGCCACTTGACAGAGGACCGTGCCCCTCCCTGAGCCCTCGGATCATATGAAGGAAACAGCAGTGCCTGCCTACCCCCCCACCCCCCCCCACACACACACCCTGCCCACCGCAGGCCCACCCTGCATGACTCTCCCTCTGCCCAGGCCTCCCTGCCACGGGCCTGGCTTGCCAGCGAAAGGGCAGGCTGATCTTCATGCCCCTGCCCTCGGGCAAGGAGGCATGGAAGGTCCTACACTGCTGCCCTCCCCAACTGTGCCCTTCCCCTGCCCCCCATGAATGTGACCAGGGCAGGGTAGCCGAGTCCTCTCTTTTCTTCGGGGAGGAGGAGAGGGGCAGGAGGTACCCCAGCCCACACCCCCAGGACAGTCCACACTGAGCCTGTGGGGACTGCCCTCCAGAGTCCGAGGTCCCCTTGTGTCCTCCTTTTCAGTCCCTCGGAGACCCCACAGTCCATCCTTTTATTGCCACTGCCCAAGTGATTGCCACGGACACCCTTCCTGCCATAGAAATGGCCAAATGAGACCCAGGGCCAGACCGGGGTCTCTGTTCCTTCTCCCCACCACTTGTCCCGAAGAGCTCTCGGGAGAAAGAATTGCACAACATTTCTCAGCAAGTGATTCTAAGAATGTAGCCCCCGTCCCTCCCGGTCCCTACAAGCTAATTTATTGGATTCCTGTTCGTAGCCTTCTCGATTGCCAATGTGAGCACCCTGCTAGCAGGGGAGGCAGCCCAGCCTCTGAACCAGCCCCAGCCAGCCTGTCGCCCCACCAGCCTACACTGCCAGCTGCCACCAGGGGGGCCCAGGCCAGCCAGAGGGGGAGATGGACACTGTGCTAATGTGAGTGCGGGCACCAGTGTTCCCAGCTCAGTGCCAAAGAGGGGTCAGCCGGAGAAGCTGTCTCCACAAAGCTAGCTCCTGCCCAAGAGGGAGACCCCACCGCTGCTGTGTGCCTTTCGGGGGTGAAGGGGGGCTCAGCCCTCGGGCCAGGAAGCCTCCCTCAGTCCCTCAGTAAAAACCGCCCATGAAAATGGTGTTCTTGCCTCCTGTTCTCTTTGTCTGGCCTGGCGTGGGGGAGACACAGGGCCGGGCAGCAGGTGCCTGGAGGAAAGGAATAAACTCAGCTCCCACGCCACCTGAAGACAGCTCAGCACATTCTGTGGCTGACATGCTGGGGGGAGGCAGATCTATCAACAGCATCTCACAAACATCTTGGCGGAGCCCAAATAGGACTCTGGACCCAGTGCTGGGGTGAGGAGAAGAGGAGTTATGCCAGGTTCCGGCATGAGGACTTCCAGAGAGATCATATGGGAGAAATAGTTGCAAAGAGGGCTGGTTGGAGGAACACTGAGAGGAGGGGTCCTAGCAAGGAGCAGCAGGGAAGACGTGCTTCTAGACCCTCTAGTAAGAGGGAACATTGGTGCATGGGGCCAGGAGTGGATCAGGAGCAAGATTCGGGGTATTGATGCTGAGTGCAGGGGAAGGGTGGGGCCAGGCCATCCCAAGGAGCCAGAACTTATTCCAGAGGCAACAAGAAGCCACTGCAAAGTTGTCAGCAGGATGCAAAACCCATGGAGTTATGCTTAAAGCTGGCTGTGTGGAGGGTTGTTTGGAAAGAGGTACACCATATAAAAAGAATTCTATAAAAAGTTCTACCCAGCCAGCATGGCTCAATGGTTGAGCGTCGACTTATGAACCAGGAAGTCGTGGTTCCATTCCTAGTCAGGGCACATGCCTGGGTTGTGGGCTCAATCTGGCGTACAGGAGGCAAACAGCTGATCAATGATTCTCATCATTGATGTTTCTATCCTTCGCTCATCCTCTCTAAAATCAATAAAATGTATATTAGAGGCCCAGTGCATGAAATTTGTGCACTGGGGAGGGTGTCCCTCAGCCTGGCCTGTGCCCTCTCACAGTCTGGGACCCCTCGGGGATCGGGCCTAAGCCAGCAGTAGGACTTCCCTCTCGAAATCTGGGATCTCTCACTCCTTACCACCTGCCTGCTTGCTCCTTACTGCTTGGCTCACTGCTCCTTAGCATCAGGCTCCTTACTGCTCAGCTTGCCAGCCATGAGCCTAGCTTCTGAGTGGCGCTCCTCCTGTGGAAGGAACTGACCACCAGGGAGCAGCTCCTGCATTGAGCATCTGTCCCCTGGTGGACAGTGTGCGTCATAGCGACCCGTCGTTCTGGTCCTTCCGCCATAATGGTTGCTTAGGCGTTTCTTATATAGATGTGTGTGTGTGTGTGTGTGTGTGTGTGTGTGTGTTTAAGAATGAAGTTCTGATCCGTGCTACAACATGGGTGAACTGCAAAAACGTAATGCTGATTGAGTGGAAGGAGCCAGTTACAAAAGACACCGACCATAGGAGTCCATTCATATGAAATATCCAGATTAGGAAAACCCACAGAGACAGAAAGGGGATTGGTGGCTGGCAGGGGCCTGAGAGGAGAGGAATGGAGAATGACTGTTAATAGGTACAAGGTTTCCTTTTGGGGTGATGAAAATATTCTAGAACAGAGGTAATGGTTGCACAATACTGTGAATGCACTAAATGCCACTGAATTGTGCACTTTGGAAGGAACAATTTTGTGTTATGTGAATGTCACCTCAAAAAATAGATGACTGATTGATGATAGAGAATAGATTGATACATGATAGACAGAGAGAGGGGGGCATAGATGAGCAAACACACCACCTAAACTTTAGGTCCTAAAGCAACATAGACAAGATGTGCTGAGGCCTGAAATCCTGGACAGATTAGAGAGAGATTAAAAGAAAGTCAACAGGCATGGGAGAGGGGGCAGGTCAGGCACTGGGGATAGGGAAGGGGAAAGTCAAGAGGATCCCTAGGTTCTGGCTTGGGTGGTCTGATGGGTGACAGCACCCTTCACTGAGGGGTCAGGTTGGAGAGTAGCTGTCACCCAGTTAGCACTTGCTGGGCCTGCGCCTATAGCCCCCTGGGAAATGATGAGTAGGCAGTGGCCAGGGGAGTTTTCAGCTTGGATGAACTCTAGCCTTGAGATCCTCCGAGGCATCCAGGCATGTTGATTGAAGATCTGCATAGACAGCCTGGGGAAAGGGTGCTTGGTCTCATGGGGGTTGGGGAATGCGATACAGACTGCATTTTATCCAAGTTTTGAGGTTAGGATTTATTCCTGATTCCCGGGAAGTAGTAAATGCAAAGGTGGAGAGTTTTTGCCCAGCTCAGTGGTTGAGCATCAACTTACAACTCAGGAGGTCACAGTTTGATTCCCAGTCAGGCACATGCCTGGGCTCAGTCCCCAGTGTGGGGTGTGCAGGAGGCAACCGATCCCCAGTGTGGGGTGTGCAGGAGGCAACCGATCCACACAGCCACACACACACACACACACACACACACACACACATCTTTCCAAACAACCCTCCACACACACACACACACACACACACACACACATCTTGTGGGCTCAGTCCCCAGTGTGGGGTGTGCAGGAGGCAACCGATCAATGATTCTCTCTCATCATTGATGTTTCCCTCCCTTTCCCTCTCCCTCTCTGAAATCAATTTTTTCTAAAATTTTAAAGAAGGAGAGAAGTTGTTGAGTTGTTCCTTCTTCTCTTCCCAAGATTGTGTAAGTCATCCCTATCTGAACATAAATTCTTAAAAAAAATTAAATAGCTAGAATGGTTCTGTGGTCTGCCACCAAATCCTAATTGATTTGGATGAAAAGAGACAATCCAGGAAATACCATACTAATGGAAGTTAGTGAAGAGACATTAATATCAGACAAAGTAGACCTCAGGGCACAAATATTATTAGGGATTAAAAGAGGTTGCTGCATAATGATGAAATAAATAATTCATTTGCAGTATTAAACATTGTGAATATGTGCGTACCTGCCTAATGACAGAGCCTTGAACAAAAACAGGAAAAGGAAAAATTTATAAATCATCACATTCACCACAATAAATTATACCACCTCTCACTACAATTGGCAGCTCAAGCAGACAAAACTAGTATGAATATAGTGGGAGGGAATGAACAAACTTGATGAATGGGTTTCCCAAACCTAGAGACTATACATTCTTACCAGTTCACTTTGAACATTTACTATAACTCACCATGTCCTGAGCCACAAAACAAATCTCAATAAATACTGAAAGAATTGGTATGGCTGAAACCAGTTTGACTCAGTGGATAGAGCGTCAGCCTGCAGACTGAAGGGTCCCAGGTTCAATTCCGGTCAAGGGCATGTACGTTGGTTGTGGGCACATCCCCAATGAGGGGTGTGCAGGAGGCAGCTGATCAATGCTTCTATCTCTCTCCCTTCCTCTATGTAAAAAAATCAATATATATACATATTTTTTTTAATTTTTTTAAATAATGAAAAGAAAAAAAACACATGAGGAAATCTCTATGCTCTTGGGTAGGGGAGGATTTCTGAAACAAGACAAAAAGGACAAACCATAAAATAGAAGATCAATAAATGTAATTATATTCAAATCAATATTTCTTCATCTAATGATGCTATAGGCAAACTGAGAAGACAAATCCTGGGCATGAAGAAGACATAACAGACCAAAGACTGGTTTCTAAACTATGTGAAGACTCTCTCAAAATACTAAGGAAAAGACAATTCATATAGAAAAATTGACAAAGACGTGATCAGGCATTTTGCAGAAGAGGAAACACAAAGAAGCTCAATATTATTAGTACTCAGGGAATGTCGATTAAAAGCCCAGCAAGCCCTGGTCAGGGGGCTTGCTCAGTGGTTAGAGCATTGGCCCATGCACCAAAGGGTTGCGGGTTCAATTCTCAGTCAAGGGCACAATACCAGGTTCATTCCCCACCAGGTACATGTGGAAGGCAACCAATGAATCTTACATCAATGTTTCTCTCTCTCTCTCTCTCTCTCTCTCTCTCTCTCTCTCTCTCTCTCTCTTTCCTTCCCTCCCTCCCTCCCTCCCTCCCACTCTCTGAAAAGCAATAGATAAAATATCCTCAGGTGAGGATTAATAACAAAAAATAATAATAATAAGCAGCAAGGCATAACCACTTCACACGCCTCATATTGACACTAAGTACTAGGTAAAAGCACTAAGTACAGGGTTGGTAAAGTGTGAAGAAAAAGAAATGCACCAAATAAGTTCAAGTTCTCCCTGATTTGCTGACCTCTGCACCCTCAAAGCATACCTGACGATCCTTGTGCTCCAGGAAGAGGGAAACACCCATGGGCATGTCACCTGCAGATAGCCTCAGCAGTCCCTATCTCTCCGTCTTACAAAGCCTACCACGTTCATGGTCCAGGGCCACGTGGCCTCTTGGTTAAGTGCAGGGGCCCTGTGGTTGACTCTTAGCCTTGCCACTTACTAGCTGTGTAACCTTTTTATTTTTTTTTTATTTTTAAATATATTTTATTTATTTACCGAGAGGAAGGGAGAGGAAAAGAGTTATTGGATAGAAACATTGATGATTTTTTAAAATATATATTTTATTGATTTTTCACAGAGAGGAAGGGAGAGGGATAGAGAGCTAGAAACATCGATGAGAGAGAAACATCAATCAGCTGCCTCCTGCACACCTCCTACTGGGGATGTGCCTGCAACCAATGTACAAGCCCTTGACCAGAATCGAACCTGAGACCCTTCAGTCTGCAGGCCGACCCTCTATCCACTGAGCCAAACCGGTTAGGGCCCTTTTATATTTCTTAATATATTTTATTGATTTCAGAGAGGAAGGGATATATATATATATATATATATATATATATATATATATATATAATATATATATGAACATCAATGATGAGAGAGAATCACTGATTGGCTGCCTCCTACAGGGGTATGGAGCCCGCAACCTAGGCATGTGCCCTTGACCGAAATCGAACCTGGGACCCTTCAGTCTGCAGGCTGATGCTCTATCCATTCAGCCAAACCAGCTAGGGCTTTAAATCAATATATTTAAATCAATATATTCAAATATATATATATTGATTTCAGAGAGGAAGGGAGAGGGAAAGAGAGGAAAAAAACATCAATAATGAGAATCATTGATC